ATAAAAATTCTCAACTTGGTCAAGTCTACTGGTTTCTTTTCTTCTTCTTTATCTTCAAGACTCACAAACCAATCACTACTTTTCACCTTTAAGGCTTTAACCCAAAAAAAATAAAATATGCGGAACTTTTTTTTCAAAGCTTTCACAATAGAAATATAATATTTATGTATATGTATATTAATTTTTAGTGAACGTTTTACATATGGTAGATTAACCTAAATTAAAACCTACATGACATAACGAAACGTAAATGTCAAAAAGGACAAAAGTAGTAAAAAAATAAAAAGAAACTAAACATTGTGAAAGAACACGTGAATACACGTATGTAGTTTACAAACTTTTTGAAAAAAAAAAGTAAATGTATTTTACAAACTTTACACGTTAGGAAGAAAGATTCCATTTAAAACTTAAAAACTTAATTATATCTCATCATATACATATATCAAATTGGAAGAGACCAAAATTTCTAGCTGCATATATATTTCAAAAACATCATAAAGATACAAATGTATAACTAAAAGCAAGTATGCATGTATTTACTTAAAACTTACTATTTTGCAACTTATGATCACTATATTAAAGCATGTAATGACTGAGAAAGTGAGAATTGTTGTCCATTTCATATGGGAGATGGATTCTCATCATACGTTTGCTTTTGGTTTTCCAAAATTTCTTGTCTCCATGTTTATTAGACCTTGGACTTGTATTTTACACTTAATATACTAGTAATATAACACAGGCAAATATCAGTTAAGATATACGATGACAACTAATTAAATCTGGCCTCATTTAGCTCATAGCATAAACAACTATGGGGCTTCTTACATGATGAGTACCATCAAACCAAATTATATTTGCAGACACAGGTTGTTTTGTTCCGATACTATCGCCTGAAACAGTCACCATGAAAGACTGCTTCTCACTTATCGACTTCATAGACAAAACACGCGGCAAAACTTTGATGCGGAGTTTTGAACCAGGACTTGTGACTACCTCTGCTTTGTATGTAGAGTTTTGCTTACCAACATTAGTGACAGTTCTATGGAAGGTTAAGTTGAACGGATGTGTTCCGGATACTTTAGCTGACATTGTAGGGTAGTTGAGGTTTCTTTGTAATGTCTTGGAACGTTCTTTCGTGCAAGTGATGTTATCTCCAGAGATGATTCTTAAGTGCTCACTCGTGTAGTTTAAACCGCAGAGAAAAGCAATGTGGTCTGCTTTGGTCAATTCATAGACGAGTCCAGGATGAATAGCAGCTAGTGGGTTCACATGGCCAGATCCATAAGCGAATTCAGTTGATACAAATCCAGGACCAGACGCATTCATCAGCCAAGCTGCAAAATTTTTGGAGATCATCTAAGGGTATCTTGCATGACAAGTAAGTTTGTTAATCTTGGTAGATGTTTCAATCTTAAGATTTTGTTACCTGTTGTCATGATGGCAGATTGGATCATGGAAGGAGACCATTCAGGATGAAACGTCTTGACGTAGGCAGCCACGCCTGCAACGTGTGGACAAGCCATTGAAGTTCCAGACATAACAGAGAATCTTACATGTCTAGTGTCAAACTCGCTTTCAGTTGGTGAACTGTCAGGTGAATAAGCAGCAAGTATCTCCACTCCTGGTGCGGTTATATCCGGCTGCATTTTCATTCCAGTATTACCAAAGAGAGTAATAAAGAGTACTAATATAGTAATATCACTACCTTCAGAATATCTGAAACGATGGTACTTGGACCACGAGAAGAGAAAGAAACAACGAGAGGAGCGGTTTGATTAGAGATTTCTTCACTTTTAAGAATAGTCGCTTTTGGACCTCTGCATACACACACGACAACCAATAAAGATGAAGAGGAATTTGAAGTATGCAGCATATAACACATACATATACAGAGAAAATCAATACTTTGTGGAATTCATGTAAGAGATGAGAGATTTGTAGTCATCACTGGATAAAAATGAGACCGGGAAAGAACGAACATAGGCGCGGTCTGGTTCAGGATTCTTTACAATCGATCCAACAGCTCCCAGTTTTTGAGCTTCTATTGGACCTTTAGTAGAATCACACAGCACAATCTTCCCTTTCACGCGTTTTCCATCTAGACACTTTGGCTCACATAACCTGCAAAGAAATAAAAATATAATCTCACATCACAAAAATCATAATGTAAAATAGTTTTCCCAAAAAAAAAAAAAAAAAAAAATTCTTGGAAAGGAAGTCACCTAGCCTTATCTAGGCTACATTTACTCAAAGCAGCAGATTTTCCGTAAACCAGAGGATACTTGGTTCCATTCAGATCATATGTATTCACTGATCTCCCCTGTTTCATAAAAATAAGAAGAGCCAAACAAATTAAAAAGACAAAAGATCCTATGATATTGTAGTGATTAAGAATGATTCTTGATAACGCACGACAAGTATCTTGCCGTCTCCAAGAAGAACTTTAGTCATAAAAGCACGGTTAGTTATGCTAGCCGCAACGCTAAACACCCACGGTGCAGTGCTCGTGACCGTGCTGATCTTCGGACCGTCGTTACCCGCTGCGTTCACAGTGAGAATTCCTTTAGCCATAGCGTGAAAACCCCCGATGGCAATGGGATCTTCCTCGAACGGTGGAATATTATCAAGCACGATGGAGATGGTTATAACATCCACACCGTCAGCGATTGCGTCGTCAAACGCAGACATTATTGCTTCTCCGCTGCATCCTTCATTATTGCAAACTTTGTAAACGGCGATTCGAGCGGCTGGAACGCCACCTCTAGCGGTTCCGTTTCCAAGTCCGTAGAAGCTTGTGTCTGCGACAGCGTTTCCTGCAGCCGTTGACGCCGTGTGTGTGCCGTGTCCAGTGTAGTCTCTCGCTGATTGATTTGCTTTAGACTCGGACATGTAGTCTCTTGCCCCAATGATCTTGCTGCAAGAACAGAGAAATTGCGGTTACACATGATCAGAAGTTGCAAATAAGTTGTTCCACGAAATTTTCAACTCCCACGTTAGGGCTAATGCGTGTGTTTACTTGTTGCAAGTGAAGTTTTTGCCGCCAGCACAAGTCCCATTCCATTTCTTGGGAGGAGGACCAAAGCCTTGGTCGGAAAAGCTGTCGGATTCGGGATAGACTCCAGTGTCGATGACTCCGATAATGGTATCGCGCTCATTGCTACGGTTTCGCTTGGTCTTGCTGCCTTCTTTGAGACCTATGAAGTTCCAAGACGACGTTGTTTGTAGTTTCAGTTTTCTGCTTGGGAACACCGACACAACTCTCTCCATTCCTAAGAATAAACATCAGTTTCACAATTAAAACATGGAAAATATACAAAAGAATTTTTTTGCAAGAATAAAAAAAACAAAAACATGAATGTTCCACTGAAAAAAAATGGAAAATTTACAATAAAAAAAAAAAAGTTAAAATTTTCCTCTATCAAACGTTGCTGTGTTTTTTTTTTATAGATTATTAATCATCTAGAAAAGTCAATATAGATGAAACTCACGGGCTAATATATTTCGTTCGGATTCAGTGAATCGTGTAGCGAACCCATTGAAACTTCTCTTGTAGCTTCTCACCAAGCGATTCTCGATGGAACTGGAATATATAATCAAATATCATAAGGGATTTATCTACATCCACATTACCAAATTTCAAATTGCTATCTCTCTATATAGTACGGGAAAAATAAAGTAATAAGACCTCTCTTGGGTGACTTCTTGAAGAATACTCATGTGGTCGGACATTGGTTGGTAATCATCTCGAGATGGAAGCGCTCCCAAGTATACGATATATACCTTTATGGATTATTTTCATGTACGATTGAATCATTGAACATAGTATATGACTCTTAAAGACGATCATGAATTCATGATAATAGATTCTAATGATTATTTCGATAAAGAATTTAATCATAATAATACCTGTTGATCTTCTTGATCATCCTTGTCCGCCGCGACTGAACTCAGAAACAAGACGACGACGAGACTTGAGAAGAGGCAGAACAATGTTGTGCCTTTCATCATTTCGGCTAGACTAAAATTAAAAGTCACTAATATTCTTTTCCTGCATAAGGATTTGCGGGACATGAATTATATTTTTATGAGATTTGGCTGAGATTTAATTTAATCAATTAATCTCTTATGATTTTGTAATATAGTAAAATCTAGTATTTATATTACTATATCTCAAAATAAAATCCATTGTATTAATTTGATTATACCAATTGTGGAAGCACATTATTAATAACTTTTATTTCTATAATTGTTTAACTATTATGATGTATATGAGCCAATAGCCATCATACTTTATCTATGACAAAAACACATGTTTTATTCTTTATCTCTACATCATACTTTAGTCTTTGTTTCACACCACTTACTTCACATCAATTGCTTCATACCACTTATTTCACATCACATTATTTGTTTCGCACCATTTATTCCACATCAATTATTTACTTCATTTCATTTCATGCTTTAGTCAGAGATTGCTACCTCAACAAAGTAAGAAACCAAAATTTTGGAAGAAAAAAAAAAACAATGGTGCTTCTCATGTTATGAACTGAAGTGCCCTGATCAAGTGATCAGTATGCACCATCAGTATAAACAGCAATGGGGCTTCTCGATCACATTATGTATCCCATCAGACCAGATAAGATTTGCAGATGAAGGCAGTTTTGGAAATCTATCACTGTCTCTGCTTGTGACAATCAATGTGAAAGTCTTCTTCTCGCTCACCGTCTTAAAATACAGAATAGTAGGCATGACCTTGATGCTGAGCTTTGATCCATGATTTAAGACCACCTTTGATTTGTATGTTGAGTTGAGAGTTCCAACATTTGTGACAGTTCAGACTCCTCATTTTTGATCTCTAATTTATAATGGAGGAAATCCCCTAATTTTTCAGATTCCTCATTTTTAATCACTTTTCATATTTGAATTCGTCTGTGACTTTCTTTTGACCAACGAAAAGAAAGAATAATTTGATTAAACAAAAAGATAAAAAAAACACAGCATTTAGATTAGATTATCCAACACGTACGCATATCCGAAGATAGCAACACATACATATAGGAAGCCGAGACATAATAGATAAATTAGAAAAGGTAAAACATAGAATGAAGAAACATTACAGCAATAAAGATTTATTTATTATGGTGGTGATTTGAAGATGGCTCCTCAGAACTCCTCATTAATGTAAATGACGATGGGACTTCTCACGTTATGGATACCGTCAGACCATATTAGATTTGCAGACGAAGGAACTTCAGTGTCGACATCGTTGCCTGTAACAGAGACCGTAAAAGATTGCTTCTCATTCACTGTCTTAAAAGACAGAACACTAGGCGTGACCTTGACGTTGAGTTCAGATCCGTGACCCGCTACAACCTTTGATGTGTAGGTAGAATTTGGTGTGCCGACGTTAGTCAAAGTTCTGTTGAAAGTAACAGTGAATTTGCTATTAGATCCCGACAACTTGGCTGACATTGAAGGATAGTTGAGGTTTCTTGGTAAGATTTTTTTTTCTTCTGAGCAAGTGACGGTTTCACCGGAGATGACTTTCAGGACACTCGAAGTGTAGTTCATGCCACAGAGAAAGGCTATGTGGTCTGATTTGTCCAATTCGTAGACGAGTCCAGGATTTACAGCAGCTATCGGGTCGACATGTCCAGATCCATAAGCAAACTCTGTCGATGCGATTCCAGTGCCAGTAGCATTTACCGGCCAAGCTGCAAAGATTAGTTAAAAGACAACAAAAAAAACAGGGTCAACAAAATGTTACAAGAAAGTATAATTTGGATGTACAATTTTCTCTTACCAGTTGTCATGATGGCGGATTGAATCATGGAAGGAGTCCACTTAGGGTTGAGCGTCTTTACATACGCAGCCACTCCTGCAACGTGCGGACAAGACATTGAAGTTCCAGAGAGAACAGAGTACTTGACATGTCTGGTGTCATTTTCAGACGGTTGAGCATCAGGTGAATATGCAGCGAGGATCTCCACTCCCGGTGCTGTTATATCCGGCTGCAAGTCATTCACAATTGTCTCTCAGACCAGAGAAACAAACGGAACCGATCGAGAAAGTAAATGGTTTGCATATATTTTACCTTGAGAATATCAACAGCGATAGTGTTGGGACCGCGAGAAGAGAAGGAAGCAATAACAGGAGATGTCCGATTGAAGATGGCTTCAGTTTTTAGAACAGTTGCTTCTGGAGAACTGAGAAAACAAACACATAAATTTCAGTATAAGATGGAGAAGATGTATATATAAAGCATAGAGAATATGATTGTTTACCCTGTAGACTCAAGGTAAGTGAGGAGAGACTCAAAATCGTCTGTTAGTAAACCAGAGGCAGGCAAAGGGTGAATGAAGGCGACGTCTGGTTTAGGGGTTTTAAAAATGATTCCTGTAGCTCCAACTGATTCAGCTATCTTCAAACCACTTGGACCACCACACACTAATATCTTCCCATTCACACGGCTTTTGTTTAGACACTCTGGCGAACAAAGCCTTAAAAACGAATTGAGCTCATCACATTAGAAATTTAATTTGAAAAAAAAAAACTCAATTAAGATTCTGTTTCGTAGGGAGGAAGTTACCCTGCGTCTGCTGCCTTGCAAGAAGAGGAAGCTGCAGATTTTCCGTAGACTAGAGGGTATTTCTTTCCTTTCATATCGAAGGCATTCACTGACTTTCCCTATTACGGAAATATAACAGAGGAATCACTAAAGAGACAAAAATTACTATGATCATAACAATGAGAGTGTTACTTGATACTTACGACAAGTGTCTTGCCGTTTCCGAGAACCACTTTGGTGACGAACCCACGGTTCGTGGTACTGGCAGCAACGGTTAAGATCCACGGGGCTACTGCCGACACTGAGGTCGGATCTGGACCGCTGTTACCCCCAGAATTCACAGTGAGAATCCCTTTGGCCATAGCGTGGAAAGCCCCGATCGCAATCGGGTCACGTTGGAACATGTGCGCCGCTTCATCCCCCATAGAGATGGTGATTAGGTCTACACCGTCAGCAATCGCGTCATCAAACGCAGACAATATAGCTTCCGAGTTACACCCTGTGGCGGTGCAGACTTTGTAAGCGGCAACTCTAGAGGCTGGAACGCCACCTCTTACGGTTCCGTTGCCGATTCCAAAGAAGCTTGAGTCCACAACTGCGTTTCCAGCGGCCGTAGATGCGGTGTGTGTACCATGCCCTTCCGTGTCCCTAGTCCCTTCGTCTGTGTAGTCTCTTGCCCCAATCAACTTGCTGTTTGAGTAATATATTAACAGATCAATAACATTTAACTTACACTTTTCCAAACTTATGTTATTTAAAGAGAGTAATTACTTGTTGCATGTGAAGTTTTGGCCACCGGAACAAACACCTTTCCATTTCTTAGGAGGAGGACCAAAGCCTTCATCGGAAAAGCTCAGAGATTCAGGCGTAATCCCACTGTCGATGACTCCGATAACGGTATCACTTTCCACGGTAGGATTCCTCTTTGTCTTCTTTCCTTCCTTTAACCCCATGAAGTCCCAAGATGTCGACGTTTGGAGTTGTAACTTCCTGTTTGGGAATACAGACACGACTCCCTCCATTTCTAAGAACAACATAAACGGGTTTAATTGTTTAATACCTTAAGAATCATTTCCACATAAGTTTGTCTCGGTCTAACTAAGAACACTCACCGGCTACACGCTCCCGTTCTGACTCAGTGAGCCTGGCCGCGAAACCGTTGAAGCTCCTCTTGTAACTTCTTACCAAACGACCTTCGATCGAACTAGACATATAAATATATATCACTTATTAAAGTCTCCGTGATAATATTTATACTTACTTAGCCATAATTAGAGAATGGCTTAATTAAAGCACACCTTTCTCCGGTGACCTCTTGAAGAATACTCATGTGATCGGACGTTCGTTTGTAATCCGCTCGAGACGAAAGTGAGCCCATGTAGACAATATACACCTTCATGGATCACATATCAACATTTGTAACGGATGGCCATATATATGGAGAAGCAAGAGATCATCATAGTAAATTGATAATGCTTGTTATGAATCATCGAGGATAATAATACCTGCTTATCTTCTTCATCTTTGACTGCTGAGACTGAAGTCAAGAACATGACAAGGAGACATGAGAGAAGGCAAGCTGAAGCTGCTAGTTTCGCCATTGTTTTTGATAAAATGATTAAAATTGTTAGTATAATATGATGAACATGGTAAGATCTCTAATATATATAGGAGAAACTCATACATGCACCGTGTCAAATTATAAGAAACTAATCCATGTCCTCTGATTTTTTCTTTAATTTATATAAATAAATTTTCATAAATAAGATCAAAACATTTATCACATTTTAATGTTATCTGTATAAATTAAATGGTAACAGTGTTTAAAAATTTAAAGATCATATCTATATAGGGATTTATATAGTCACATCTAAAATAACTCATATAGTAAAGAAAATAAAGTCTGAGATTAATCTCTCTTTAGTTTTCGAGTTTCTTAGTTATATAAAAAAAAATAGAGAAAATTTAAAAATATTAAAATACTTTTTTCTGTATCGTTCTTTTAACTAGCTGCGACGTGGTACAACTATAGTAGACGTTAATTTATCAAGGCAGTTTAATTAGCTGATATGGTGAATGGACGTTACATATTACAGTAGTACTTTCAATGTACTTAGCCTTTTTTAAGAACTAACGATTGCTATTACTAGGTATATCCAGTTAGTATTTACTTCTTTTCTTAAAGATCATAACAGTAGATTACTAGTAGATGTATAAGATATATCAATCGTCTGTGATTGTTATTTAATTTGTTATTCAAAATATTATACATTTATTAGTGTTCAAATTGCTACTAATGTATAAAAATAAAAATATTAATTTAACATATACAGTATATTGAGATATACACACATATATTGTGTAAAAACTAATATTAAGAATTTCGGAGTATTGAAATATATCGCAAGTGCATTTATGTCCACTAAAATAAAGTAAATTATTAAAATCAAAACCTAGAAAAACTATTAAAATGGTACAAATTATATATATCACCATATTTCGCAAAGTTACATTGGAGATTTTTGTGCAAACTAGAAAATTATGTCATCTGATTATTGGAAGCATGGTTTTAAATTAAAAGAACATATATATATGTTCAAGATTCTCAGTAGCAAAGAAGAAAAGTGAAATTCGTTAATAGTTTGGGTAATTTTCGTTTTTTCAAGAACTAATGAACCATGTGATATGTGTAAGCATGGTTAGGCAGAAGAGTTACCCAAAAAATTCTTTACCCTTGACATGTTCTAAAAATGCTCATCTCCTATCAATAAACTTTCCAAACAGCACCATATGTTAAGCATTTTGATTGTTTGTGAGTTCTGGTGTAAGTTCGTTCAGTCAACTAATTAAAGACAAGAAACTTCTCAAATTCGAATTAGCGAAGATCATTTAAAATTAACAAAAGACTTCTATCACATGTATGCATAATCATTCTTTAAGATTATATATAGATATATTTACGCACATATATGTAATGTGTATGTATGTGTTTATATAAAAATTATTTAAGTTTGTAAAATTATCAATAGTTGACTAAATTTTTTTGTTTTTCTTGTCGAGAAGAGTTGACGAAACTGTAACAGTTAAAGTTTCCCTCTCCATAATATGCTTTTTGAGTTCATGACATGTGTTATGTTCTGAAGACCCTTCCAGTCCAAAGAAAGAGTCTTGCTGAGAAAGTAACGGTAGTTTTCTAACTTTTCGGGAGTTAATAACTGTTTTCTCCACCAAACTTTTTTAAGAAGTCGTCCAATCCTTTCTAAAATTTGACTAGGTGTACTGATACATATCAGTCTAATGTACGTCATAAAGGCTACAAGACAGTTTTGGTGGCTGTATGGGATACAAATTCCTAAGCTCTTGTAATTTGTAGGATTATTGAAAAAGAATCTGGTCCATAGGAAACTCAAAAGTTGAATTATTTTGATGGACGTCCCAAGACATCAACACAAATTAATAACATAACCAAAAAGCTAGAATGACTAAAACAACAATAACAATGTTTTATGATGACGATGGTGGTAATGATGGGAAGTCGCCTGTATAAATAACAATGGGGCTTCTCACATTGTGTGTCCCATCAGACCAAATTAGACTTGCAGAGGAAGGCAGTTCTGAGTTGAGCTCGCTGCCTGAAACGATCACCGTGAAGGACTGCTTCTCGTTCAGCGACTTCATTGATAGAACACTAGGTGAGACCTTGACGTTGAGCTTTAATCCGTGATTCAAGACAACTTTTGATCTGTATGTAGAGTTTGGGTTACCAACGTTGGTGACTGTTCTTTTGAACATGACAGTGAAGGTGCTATTAGATCCCAGTTTAGCCGACATTGAAGGATAGTTGAGGTTTCTTTGTAAGGCTTTTTCAGTGCAAGTGACGGTTTCACCAGTGATGAGTTTCAGGGTAGTCTCATTGTAGTTCAGGCCGCAGAGGAACGCAATGTAGTCTGCTTTGGTTAAATCATAGACAAGTCCTGGATTAGTAGCAGCTATCGGGTCTACATGACCAGCTCCATAAGCAAACTCAGTGGACGCATAGCCACCAGTTTCAGAAGCATTCATCGGCCAAGCTGCGAGATTGATTAAGAAACCAAAACAGAACAGAGCATGAACAAAAGTTGATCGGTTTCTTGTGGGACAAGAAAGTCTGTTTTATTACTTGAGATGTAACTTTTCTTTACCTGTTGTCATAATAGCAGATTTAATCATGGAAGGGGACCATTTAGGATGAAACGTCTTGATGTAGGCTGCTACGCCTGCAGCGTGAGGACAAGACATTGAAGTTCCGGATTCAACTGAGTATTTCACTTGAGTGGTATCATAAAACGGTGATGCCTTAAGTGAATTTGCAGCCAAAATTTCCAGTCCTGGTGCAGTTATATCCGGCTGCATTTTCATTCACCAATTTCTCAGATTGAGAAAAGAAGAAGAAGAGATTAATGTAAGCATAACCAATATCTACATATCATAATATTATACCTTGAGAATATCAGCAACGATGATGTTTGGACCGCGAGAAGAGAAGGAAAGAACTTTAGGAGCTTCCTTATGAAAGATTGCCTCACTTTTTAGAACAGCCGCATCTGGCAAACTAAAGAATCACGCCCAAGAAGAATGAGAACAAAGAGAAACATATACAGAAGAAATGAAAGTGATTGATTCAACAGAGAGAAGATGATTGTTTACTTTGAGGATTTGATGTAAGAGAGGAAATACTCAAAGTCATCTTTTTGTAAGCCAGATACAGGTAAACCGTGGATTTGTGCCCAGTCTGAATCATCTTCAAAAATGGATGCAACGGCTCCCATTCTATAGGCTACGTAGGGAAGAAATCTAGTGCACACCAAGATCTTTCCCTTCACCAGGGATGCATCAAGACAATCTGGCGTGCAGTCCCTGAAACAATTAGAAAGAAAAAATTATCACTACCACCAATCAGACCAGATATATAAAAGTATTTCTAGGTCACACATGCGTTTCTTGTGTAAAAAGTTACTCGGCGCATTTCGCTTGGGAGGCAGAGGAAGCAGCAGATTTTCCAAACACCAGAGGGAACTTCTTTCCTTTCAGATCAAAACCATTCACTGATTTTCCCTATCATGGAGAAAAAAAAAAACAGGAGTGTCAAATTGATATTATGATAACAGAGAATGAATGAGAGTGTTACTTGATACGTACGACAAGTGTCTTGCCGTCACCGAGAACCACTTTGCTCACAAACGCACGGTTTGTTGTGCTGGCTGCAACGGTTAACATCCAGGGTGCTAAGCTCGTGACTGAGGCTGTATTGGGACCAGTGTTACCAGCCGCGTTCACAGTAAGGATCCCTTTGGACATAGCGTGAAAAGCTCCAATTGCGATCGGGTCTCTCTCGAACGAGTACACATTAATATCACCTATAGATATGGTGATGATGTCAACACCATCGGCAATAGCATCATCGAACGCAGACAGTATTGCATCATCTCTACATTCTCCGGCGCAGACTCTGTAAGCGGCGATTCTAGAGGCTGGAACGGCACCTCTCACCGTTCCATTGCCGAGCCCAAAGAAGCTTTTATTCTCGACTGCGTTTCCAGCCGCAATAGACGCCGTGTGTGTACCGTGGCCGCTAGAGTCCCTAGCATCTCCGGGTGAGTAATGTCTTGCTCCAATCAGCTTGCTGTAAAAATGACTTAACATATCAATCTCTGCCCAAAAGAAATGTTATTTCCTGAAGTCAAAGCTTCTGAATCATATAGAGTCTCTTACTTGGACTAATTGGGGCTACTGTTATGATCAACAACATCCCACATGAAAATACAGATAAAAATTGCATTTACGTACTTATTGCAAGTGAAGTTCTTTCCGCCGGCACAAATGCCCTTCCATTTCTTAGGAGGAGGACCAAAGCCTTTGTCGGAAAAGCTTTCGGATTCCGGCCAGATTCCACCGTCCAAGACTCCGATAATAGTATCACTCTCCACAGATGGATTCCGCTTCGTCCCTTTTCCTTCCTTTAGTCCCACGTAGTCCCAAGACGCCGTCGTTTGGAGTTTTAATTTCTTGTTCGGAAAGACAGACACAACTCCCTCCATATCTAATCAATAGTTGGAAGAGTTCTTATTAGTCATTTCAAAATACGTACACGTAAAGGTGTCGAAGAACACTCACCGGCTACTCGTTGTCGTTCTGCCTCGGTGAGTCGGGCAGCAAACCCGTTAAAACTCCTCTTGTAACTTCTCACCAAACGACCTTCTATCGAACTAGGGTAATTGTATGTCATCGTTAGAATCCTCATAATTTAAAGTAATAATGATTATAATGAACTAATCAAACCACACCTCTCTCCTGCGACCTCTTGAAGAATATTCATGTGATGGGACACTGGTGTATAGTCTGCTCGAGAAGGGAGTGAACCCATGTAGACGATATACACCTTAATTTAATGACAATCATCACTTATATATCGACACAATCATAATGTATAAATGGATGAGCATATATAGCTGGGAAAAGAAAAGAGCTGTTGATCATCATTGATATAGTAATATACCTGTTTGTCTTGATGATCATGTGTGACTGCTGAGACTGAATTCAAGAACAACAAGACAAGGAGACATGAGAGGAGGCTTGAGAAAGCTCCTCGTTTTGCCATATATAGAATTGGTTAAAGTTGGTCTATAATTCCTACGAAGATTAAGATGAAAGGATATTTATAGGAGTATCAGTTTGTACTACTGGATAATTTACTTCCTCGATGTGGTAAGGCATCATCATACTTAAGGGCAACATTATTGGTGGGATCTTAGAGGCTAAGATCCCCCGGTTTTTACAAAGAAAAGATCTTATATAAGATCTTTCCTTTGCAAAAACCGAGGGATCTTAGCCTCTAAGATCCCATTGATAATGTTGGTCTAGTCTTTAACGATTGTAACATATTGCAAGTTCCAATAAAAGACCTCAGAGAAAAAAACAAACCGAGAAAACCCAAGGTGGGACTCAGAATTGATGTTTGTGGCTTGGGAAGGGACGTAAGGGTTGAAAGAGTGGTCCAATAGTTTGGAGCCAAAAAGTGTTTACAACTTTTGGAATAATTTGGAGGGTGAAGCAACAGCCTCGTCTCGGTTAATGTGACCAGACAATCTTGATTTTGGGAATGTGATATTTTGAATGAAAGTGATGCAAGATGTTCAGATTCTGGCAGTTACTGATGAAGCAGGCCTGCCCCAGTCCACAGAGCTTTGCACGAGATATTGTTGTAGGCAAGGGGAAAAGACATTTCCGACCCTCGTTTGCTTGAGGTAAGCAAGTACTCGAACAACGTTGTATTCTGTAATGTCGTTATACATCATCAAACCAATAATTATTAGGACAGAATGATTTGTTGCTTATTACAAAGCTAGTTAAGCTGTTTAAATATAAGTAACCTAGTAATGCCACAAGAACTTATGATGTTGCAGTTAAATCTAACAACTAGTAAAGAAGTACATGACATTCCCTCAGAGCTATTCAATAGTCCTTCATGAACCACTGAAACCCCACAAGCTGCTCCAAGGATTTAACATTCTTGTCCACACCTACAAGAAACTATACCAGTCGAACAAGATTCAACAGCGTTCACCCTTTTAGTTCTTCAAGTGTGAAGATAATTAGCAGCCATCATCAGCTCTAGAGTCAATTCAGGCTCAATGTGGAACTCTGTCTCTTTGCCTCTGTAAGAGATAGAACATTTGCATATCACTAGTTAGAGAATAGACAACTATGAAAAAGAGAGAGAGAAAATAAGGCCTAGAGAGAAAACGAGGGGTAGAGGAGCAGTGAAAGAGGAATCCGATTCTAGAAACAGAACACTTTCAAAAACATTGGTTCATAGAGATAAACTGATGTGACTGAAAGCAGGATGTTGAGCAATAATATAACTTTCAATCACAAGAGACTCCAAATGATTAAAAAACTTCCTGAGAAATGGATTCGATATGCTTTGGGGTAAAGAGTTTATAATGAAACTATTTCTGGAGGATGCATTCATTCTTTTACAAGTGATCCACTAAAGTAAGACTTTAATAACAACTTACTGCGATTAGATTCTGATAGTGTTAAAGAAAAGACTAACCGAGACTACAGTGCCATGATCTAGAGATAAACGTAGAGGAGGAGGAGAAAAGAACCTGGAGTATTGAAGAGACCAGTAGAAGTATTGGCAGATCTTCTCTAGAATTGGTGTGCTAATATCAGGGAATGTCACTACGCCATCTTTCGATTCCGAGAAACCACCTGCCACAACAGAAAAAACAACAACAACATAGTTTCTTCTTCAGATCTCCATAAGTTCTGCATCTACAACAGTGGACATACATGCATTCAATAATGAATGCTGAATAACACACATATGCAAAGAACATCTCTTTCCAATTTCCCTACACAACGGGACACTCAGAGTCTCTCAAGTAATGATTTTTCGGTGAAATTGAGAATGATCTAATGAATTTGGACTAACTTCCTCACTGAAACTGGGAGATTCAATTACGCAATTGAATTTGCGATACAAGCATAACCTCTGGCTAGTTTTCTATCAAATTGAGGTTTAATTCAAACCCAAATCAGATAGAATCAATCGAAATAAAGCGAGATCACAAGATCAGAATCGGGATTGAGAGCACCGAACCCTATAACCAAAGCGAAATCAGAGTAAGAAAAAAAGAGAGGAGAAAAGAACCTGGAGAAGTGAGCATGCTGCGGATAGTATGAGAAACCATAGCGGCTTCTCTGTCGATGACGAACTCGAAACCTTCCATGCTTATCAACTTCACCGTCTCTCTCATCGTCGTCGTCGTCGTCGTCGTCTCTTTTTTCTCCGCGACGGCTTTGGCTTTCCTCTGTTTCTTCTATTGCTACCTACTCAATCAATGTTAGTTGGTTAATCCCAAACATTATGGGCTCCATTTTAAATAAGCCCAATTATGAGTTACTTATGATGTACATAATCTTGTTATTGGCCCAGTTATGATGTACATAATTATGTTATTAGCCCATTAAAGGCACCCGATTCGGCCCTTTAAGCAACCCAAAAAGAAGGGAGCTACGTCTGAGTTAAACTTGGTGCAAAGTTATTACAATCTTTTTTTTTTTAACAAAATTATAGGGATGTTAAGCAAAAGTACTTCATCAGTTTCATAAATGTTGTCGTTTAAGACTATTTTTTTTTCTTATAACTGCAATGCATTTTTGTATCTATACTAACAAATGAAGGAAACATTGTAACATTTTATCAGAAACATAACCAGAAGCTTTAAAAGTTGGCAAAACGAAAGATATGGATTCACCTAGGAACCATACATAAATCTGTTTAACAAGCAAAACAAGAGAGGCTCAATTCCGATAAACTAGTGTATGGGGTTCGTAGACAAAAAAAAAAAAAAAAAACAAGCAAAACAAGAGATATGTATTTTATTTTTTATATTTTGTTAATCCCAATCAATCAATTAATAATAATAAGGTTCGACTCTAACCGAAACCATACTAAAAGTTGAAAATAAATAAATATACACCGCTAATCAATAAAGATGATGTTAGATTCGAATCTTTAGTTATCGAACGATCAATCAACAGACCATCACCAACACATAGACAGAAGGTAAAACTATAAATTATGATTTTTAAAAAGTCATTAATGACGTGGCACATATTAATTGGCTGATTGCATATGTAACAAAGAACTTAAATTATAAATTTCAAAAATACCCCTGAAACATCCTCTTACTTTTTGTCAGTCTGCCAAATGAATCATTTAAACTTCCACCTCAGCACCTTTTGTCATTTACTATTATACGACGACGTTTTTCCAACGCAGTTATACAAGTAATGTATTTTATACGGACCCTTTATACACACATACGTATATTTTCTCAAGTATAAAAAAATAGAAACATTTATAACACGAAACCCAAAACACAATTAAAAACCAGTTCCTCTGATTTTTCCTCAATTGGCTGAAACAAGTTTCGTAATCAAAGAGTGTTCCTTTTAAGAAAAGTTTCATCCTTTGTAACAGATCTGAACAAGGGTACATAGAAATTTTGATTTCACGATTCATCCGCCATTTTTTCTTGTCTGGGGAAAAATATACAAAGGTATGTTCTTTGTAGCTCGGGTTTAATTTCGTTGGATCTGTCTACTTTTGTGTGTTTATGAAGATCGCTTTTTATAAAATTTAATATCTGGGGATATTGGTGTTAATAGGGTGAGATCGAAGAGGTGAAAAAATGGCGCATAGGGTAGAACAGGACTATGATTATTTGTTCAAGATCGTGTTAATCGGTGATTCTGGTGTCGGGAAATCTAACATCTTGTCTAGATTCACAAGAAATGAGTTTTGCTTGGAATCTAAGTCCACCATTGGTGTTGAATTCGCCACCAGAACTCTTCAGGTCATTTCTAATTTCTACAACTGGTAGTATCAGTATCAGAGAATTTTAATTAAGTATCTTGTGTGCGTCTGTGATCCTTGCCATGTGTCCATTTCAAGCTCTTTTTTCGTTTTTCACGTGATCTCTATGTGGTTTTGATATGTTAGGATATGAGATTTGTACCTTTTGCTTTGCTATGATCTCATGATCATTAGGCTAATGGTAGTTCATTTGATGCAGTTGTGTTCTTATTTTTTTACTCTCTGTGCTTTATTTTTTGTTCTTTTAAAGTTGCATCCTTTACATATCCTTTTTGGTCAGTCTAAGGAACATGCTTATATTAGATAACCTATAATTGAAAAGATTCTGTGGTTTCTTAAGAAATTGAATAGTTTTCAAATTTCAACATTTGGAAACTGGAAATATTTGGTGCATTGTTCTCTCACCTTTATGAATTTGGTTTTATTATACTTTGTTTTCTAAGAGATTTTAATATCAAGAGAGAATCTTAGATGTGCTGGCCATGAGTCATGTGAAACTACTTTTGTATGGATGGTGGAGAAAGCCAAGAAACAAAAAGCTTCCCACAACTTGTCCCTAATAATGATTTTTTCTTATCATCAAAGTCAACTCTCCATCCCTCGAGAAGTCAACCCATGCACACATTAACAATTTAACATAATCAGCTGATGTATGATAAATGTTGATGGCTTAACTAATGGTTTTTTTGTGAATGCCTAGATCAGGTTCTCTACTTTTAGTTGTTGAAACATTTTTAACATTTTCATTCATGTATATCACACCTTGAAACAAGACTAAAAACTAACTCTGCAGCACGGAGATGCTATATGAGATCATACCAGTCATTGATTGTTGTTTTTTGGTGACTGTTTTATGGTTATACAGGTTGAAGGAAAGACTGTTAAGGCCCAGATCTGGGACACTGCAGGTCAAGAGCGGTACAGAGCCATCACAAGCGCTTACTACAGAGGCGCGGTTGGTGCACTTCTTGTCTACGACATCACCAAAAGACAGACTTTTGACAATGTCCTAAGGTGGCTACGCGAACTAAGAGACCATGCAGATTCCAACATTGTGATCATGATGGCTGGGAACAAAGCCGATCTAAACCATTTGAGATCAGTTGCTGAGGAAGATGGTCAGACTCTAGCTGAGACAGAAGGTCTCTCTTTCTTGGAGACATCTGCTCTTGAAGCCACCAATGTCGAGAAAGCGTTTCAAACCGTGTTAGCAGAGATTTATCACATCATCAGCAAAAAAGCTTTGGCTGCTCAAGAAGCAGCAGCTGCTAACTCTGCTATTCCGGGGCAAGGAACAACAATTAACGTTGATGACACATCCGGAGCTGCCAAAAGAGGTTGCTGCTCTACTTAATTGGAAGTTTAAACTTTCGTTTTCCCTTGATTTTCTTCTCTCTCTCTCTCTGTCCCTCTCTCTGTCTTTTTCACTTAAAGTTTTGGCTGATGAAATGTAACAACGGTGCAAGACCATGTAGAATATCATTTCTTCATTTACTCTTGTCTTACCATCTTCGATGGGTTTGTGTTCAATCAGAAAAGAAGAAGAAAAAGCTTGTTATTACTACTTCTCTTCTTTGTGTTTCTCTTCATGAATTGGTGGTGTGTTCCGATAGGTTACTTGTGCTTTACAGTTTCATTTCTCCCATCTCCTCCGGTTTAGGTTGCTGTGCATCTTGATAAACATATAAGTCACTGTTTAGTTAATAACAGACCACGTTTTCATAACTAACTTTTCCAATTATCAAAGTAGATTTAGATCATTGTTTAAACTTGTGATTAACTTAAAATGACTGGTCTTGAATCATACAAAGAAGCACGCATGGAGAGTAGTGGAGGATAAAGACATAAACCTCTAAGAAAACAAATACTGCATGAGAGAAACTGAGAACAACAACAAATAAGAGTAACAAAATTAATAATCCTAGTTAGAATCAAAGGGAAAACGACACTAGCTATTCAAACTAAAATGTACTTTGCCTATATATATAGTGATGATGATAACGAACTAACGAAAAACAAACATACGTCGTATTTAAAATAGTGACGACTATAGATATAACATTTTTACCCCAAACATTTTAGTTGGAGAGTAGTATAAAAGTTGCAACTATAACTCTTTTCTATATTTACCCAAAAACTATCTCGTGCTGGTTGGCGGTAAAGAGAAAAATGTTGGTCTAATTTTAGCTAAAACGTGTTTAGTTTAACTAACTTTTTTTTTTAAAAAAGTTTGTTTTCTAGGCATGCTGAAAGGATCATGAAAACAATGTCAAATTATTCGAGAAAGATTGTACACGATTTATTTTGTAGCTAGCTATTACAGTTGTAGTTTCTCTATTTCGAATCGGAACATACCACCACCAATTTAGAGTAAAACATATATCTAATTTATCTGAATAACATTAGATTTTAACACCGAAGGTTGGATGTAAATCCAAAACTTCAAATCACATAAAACTTTAGAAATTCATTGTCTACAGTATATTATAAAGAAAAAAATGAGGATGAATTGGCAAAGTAAATTTGGGCATAATGAATAACAATATGAAAAACATATATATTTATATATATTAAAATAAAAAAAATCAGTAAAATAATGACAAGTGATGTGCGATGAGTGGGGACAAGCAAATCCATCAGAAATGGAAGAACACGGAGACAGATGATTATACCATTATGCAAATAGTTGCATTACATTATTTTTGTTTTATTTTATTTTGACATTTTAAAAAAAATGAAAATTTGACAATATAATAACCAAAGGGAGGAAAATTAAAAAAACCCACTAACCTTCGATAAACTCACCCATCACAAAAATTCGTTGGAAATAAATTTTAAAAACAAAAAAAAACAAAAAAAAAAATATTTTGGGGAAAACAAAGGCGAAAACTTTTTTGGTCCAAAGATCGAGAGAGAAGGATTTTTTCTTTTTGAAATTTGTTTATAAGTTTTCCTCTTCCTGGGCGATCGATTCTTGTCTGAAAGATTGAAACTTTTGTTTTTTTGGGCAAGAGATTAAAAGAAATTAGATTTGGTTTGGATCGTTTGGTGAATGGCGCAACAAGGGCAGGGAAGCATGGACCCTGCCGTTCTCGACGATATCATTCGTCGTTTGTTGGATTACAGAAACCCTAAGCCTGGAACGAAGCAGGTTATGCTCAACGAGTCTGAGATCCGTCAGCTCTGCATCGTCTCTCGAGAGATTTTTCTTCAACAGCCTAACCTTCTTGAGCTCGAAGCTCCCATCAAGATCTGCGGTAAATGATTTCTCTTTTCTCCTTTTTAAAATTTTTGGGTTGTTTCCCTTTTTGGGATCTGAGTTCTTTGTGATTTGTCTTTTAGCTCTGTTTCGCGTTTTTTTCTTTCCCTTAGATCAGCTTTCAAACAAAAAGATTTGAGTAGGTTTGAATTGGTTTTAGGCAGTCATGTGTTTTGGTCAAGTTGTGTGGATTTGTGGAAATAGCTGAGAGATAGAGATGTTTTAATCTATCATCTGATTGCAGCAGCTGATCTCAAAATCAAAAGAGACAAGTCAAAGGACACATAAAGATCATTGGATTGCTCTAAATTTTGGGTGAGACCTCGTGGAAAGGTTTACAACGTTTTCTCGTTGAAGCTCAATAAATGATGGGTTTTGTATTACAAGAATTAGCTGAAAAATTATCGTAGCGCTTGGTGTATGTAGCTTAGGATGGCTTTCTTTTTTGTTTAGGATGAAACTCTTTTTTTAGAAGGTTTAGAAAATTATCTGTTTTTTGGGTGTATTCTTTCTATGTTGATTTTGTCTCTCAAATTAACATGGATTTGTAATGTTTTTGTTTGGTGTTCAGGTGATATTCATGGACAGTATTCAGATCTGTTGAGGCTGTTTGAGTATGGAGGCTTCCCACCAACAGCTAACTATTTATTCTTAGGAGATTACGTGGACCGCGGGAAGCAGAGTTTGGAGACTATTTGTCTTCTGCTTGCCTACAAAATCAAATACCCTGAGAACTTTTTCCTTCTACGAGGAAACCACGAATGTGCTTCCATTAACAGGATCTATGGATTCTATGATGAATGTAAACGTCGATTCAGCGTGAGACTCTGGAAAGTATTTACAGATTCTTTCAACTGTCTCCCCGTGGCTGCAGTTATAGACGATAAGATATTATGTATGCACGGTGGGCTTTCTCCCGATTTGACCAATGTGGAACAGATTAAGAATATAAAGCGACCAACCGATGTTCCAGACTCTGGTTTGCTCTGTGATCTGCTTTGGTCTGATCCAAGCAAAGATGTCAAAGGTTGGGGAATGAATGACCGTGGAGTCTCTTACACGTTTGGGCCTGACAAAGTTGCAGAATTTCTAATAAAGAATGATATGGATCTCATCTGTCGTGCCCATCAGGTTGGTCTACACAATATTCATGTTTCTCTTTGCTAACAAATGTTGCTGAATTTCTGATACAAATCTTTGATTTCCCCCCGCAGGTTGTAGAGGATGGATATGAGTTCTTTGCCGATAGACAGCTTGTTACTATATTTTCTGCTCCCAACTACTGTGGTGAATTTGACAATGCTGGTGCTATGATGAGTGTTGACGAAAGTTTAATGTGCTCCTTCCAAATCCTTAAGCCTGCGGATCGGAGGCCCCGGTTCTTATGAAGAAAAGAGGTAGTTCAAGTCCCATTTACTAACTTATGCTGAGTTGAGTGTTTCACTTCCTGATTCAGATTTTCGGATTGTAAAAATAGTTCATCAGATAACTGATGTGTTTCTTCTCATTATGATACTAGCTCCTCTTTTGCATACATAAATTGTATAAAATCTGACTGATGAAAACGGAAGTGTATTCGTTTTCTTTGCTTAAGTTTTGAACTTTGTGAATATGAGCTCAGAGCTTGGATCTCAGATTCAGTCACTTATAGATAAATCCTTTTAATTTTGCGTGTTGCAGTTAAAACCTCACCGGAAAGAAGAGGAAAAGGCGATATGAAAGCGGGAGAGACATTTGAAGCTCCCTGAGACTTTGTCCGGAGGCCTTGCAAAGGCAAAAAAACATAATTTACATGTTATATCATCTTATTTGAACTCATGCCATTTCTTTTTACAAAACACTTTATGTATCTTCTTCTTCTTCTATGACTCTATAGACAGTAAAAAAAAAAGTCTGCAAATTTTCATTCTTTTCAATAACCAATTTCCTCAGTGTATGTATGTACTATGTTCTGTATCCACACACCACTGGTAGACCTGGCCGTTCGAGTTCGGGTCAAATTACTGAAAGCCTTTTTTTAAGGTTTGGGACAAATCACTCAAAAGCCTCTTTAAAGAAAACAGATTCTGTAGAACTAAAAAGCGAATACAAAGTTTACTAAAAAAAGTCAAAAACCCTTGTTCCATATGAAACTGTCAAGCTCAGAAAGTGAATTGGATCCCAAAAAGCTTCTCTCTGTCACTTTACTTCATGGAATTGTGGTTATAGAACCAGCTGTGAGGTTTAATGCCATTTGGCAATTTCGCTACAAAGTATACGTAAGAGTCTCCAGTCTTCTATATATAACTTGTCGCTAATCACAATAACAACAACAAGAAAAAATGGAGTCTCTTGTAGTTACTTTAGCTCTGGCAGTCTTGTTAGTAACACAAGGAAGCATGGTCTCCTCTGCTTCTACAAATTGTTTTTCTCATTGGTTTCACTGGCCCTGGAAACATCTACCAAAAGCTCCACAGTATCCATCGCCGATCGAGACGTATCCTCCGCCGGGACAGTATCCACCGCCGATCGAGACGTACCCTCCACCGATGAAGACACATCCTCCACCGATGAAGAAATATCCTCCGCCAACGGTGAAGTACCCTTCGCCTCCGATCAAGACATATCCTCCTCCACCGTCACATTACCTAACACCTCCACCTTACGGAGAATCTCCTCCATAGTTTTAATTACGAATCAAACAAGAAAGTGTTCATATAAGTATCTGACTAGTTTTATTACCTCTTATGATGGCCATTAAATAAAGAGAATAAAGTGTTATGTTTTTTTTTTTCAATAATATGATTTCAACATCAAATCTCATAATTAGAGTTTTGAATATGTTAAGGAGATGAGTTGCAAGCTCAAAGTCTCAAACAACACAAAAATATTGAACTAAATGAATCAAAATATTGTTAAAGCAGTCATATACGCAAATATCTAAAGAAAACATGAATAAACTATTATGCAAGTTGAATCATCAAGTATTGTACGTTGTAATAGCTAATAACTTCGTTACTACAATTAAAACACATGTTAAACTAGCTAAGTTTCATCAATCTATATAAGGTTTTGTTAAACTGCTCACAACACTACAACATAAAAAAAAAAAATTATCGACTTATTACTAAAAATTTACTACGTAAGTTGGTAAAAGATTTTTAACAAAAAGAGTAAGTTGGTATAAGAAACAACTTGTAAATTTGGAAAAAGGAAAACAAACATTTAACAAGGAAAAGGGAAAACACCAATATTATAAAATTAAATAGAAAAAAACACAAGAAGAAAAAGGAAAATATTAGAAAACAATCTGGGCCGTTCAGTTTTAGAATCGGACGGTTAACAGAAAACCATCTCTGGGCAGCTTTTATATAACCACAGCGAGAGTTGTTTTGATTCTGGTCTAAGTCGAACTCAAACTAATTTTGCTCAGTAAGACAATAACAATAACAAGCCTCTCACAGAGAAAGAGAGAGAGATAGATCAAGATGTTCTTCCACATAGTATTGGAGAGGAACATGCAGTTGCATCCTCGATTCTTTGGTCGAAACCTTCGTGAAAACCTCGTTTCTAAGCTCATGAAAGATGTCGAAGGCACTTGCAGGTTTCCTTCTTAACCCTTCTTCCCAATTCCACTGCTCGTTTCAAATATCAACTCTTTGGGACGCTTTAATCGAAACCTTTTCCTCAATCCTCAATTCAAATTCGATTTTCATAGACACCTTCAGTAAAAATTGAATCTTTTTCGAAACCCTAAGCTCCGTTTTATTCAATTGGTTAGGTTTTTGGAGTTAATCGGCTGTTTCAGTTCTGTATACAGCGTTTATTGAATTCAATTCGATTAAAAATCCTTCTTTTAAGCTAAATTTGAGTCTTTGCCTGCTCATTGTATCTTATAAGAGATTGGTTTTGAAGCCTTTATCTTTCTTTGGATTAATGTATGAAGTTCATCTATCGCAGCTCACTTAGATGCCTGCTTGCAAATCACTCACTCATATCTAGTATCATTTTTTGTATTTGATTCTGAAGTCGATAACTTTGTTCTTTAGTATAAGTTTGGTTAAGTTTTGTTTTGTAACTGTATAGGAAAATGCTCATGAGGTTATGTAAGTGGATGATATTGATTGAATCTTTTGAGTAATCTCATTGTGCTTAATCTAATTTCTTGAGGCCTCTAGCCTTGCCATTGCTTTGGATTTAAGTTGTGCAACTCATATTTGCGGTGTCATATTGATGCTTACCACAGTTTTTCTTTCTGTGTTTGTGTTGGACAGTGGCCGTCATGGGTTTGTAGTGGCGATAACAGGAATAGAGAGCATAGGAAAGGGTTTGATCCGGGATGGGACTGGTTTCGTCACCTTTCCAGTTAAATACCAATGCGTTGTTTTCAGACCTTTCAAAGGCGAGATTTTGGAAGCTGTTGTCACTTTGGTCAATAAGGTAATCTATATAGTTTTGTACAGTCTAATGTGGCAAATCAATCTAGACCTTATGGATTTTTTGCTTCTCTATAACAGATGGGATTCTTCGCTGAAGCAGGCCCTGTTCAGATTTTTGTGTCTAAGCATGTAAGCTTATGACCTTACATCATGAATTTGATCTCGAGTTCATTTTTCGGTTCTAGGTGTTTTATACTTACTCTTCTTCTCCTCTTTTCAATCACCACAGTTGATTCCAGATGATATGGAGTTTCAGGCTGGAGACATGCCTAACTATACCACATCAGATGGATCAGTGTGTTTCTTTCCCTATCTCAAATTTCAAACAGTAATATTGGTATTTCATCAGTCTATAAGAAACTCAATCTTAACAATGCTTCTTGCAGGTTAAGATCCAGAAAGAATGTGAAGTGAGACTAAAGATTATTGGAACAAGAGTTGATGCCACTGAGATTGTATGCACCATCCCCAAAACTCTATTCACAATGCAACTTATAGTTAGATATCACGGCTTTTTGGCTATGACTGGCTTGAGCTGTTGTGTGATTTTGGCTTTAATCTTATCAATTTGCACATTTGTCTTTTTGTTTTGCAGTTTTGCGTGGGTACCATTAAAGACGATTTTTTGGGAGTCATAAACGATCCTGCAGCCGCATAGAAGTCTCGGGCCGATTTTCGATTTTGTTCTTCTTTCTTTACAGAGAAGCTGCTTTGTGATAAAATTGTAATATAGTCCCATAAAAGTTGAAGTTTTGGATCCTTTTAACCGGAAGCTTGTGGGATTTAACTTAATGCAAGTTTAGTGAACTTTGTAATCTGTTCAAAATTGTTGTCATGACGATTTAGATAAACAATATAGTACCGAGTTGTGAAAACAATACTACATATCTCAATGAAAATTGTATCTTTAATTTGATTTTAAATGAATTTTTCATTGATTTTGTTATAGCATTCCATTAGTGAAGGTAAATACTGAAACTGTTGTTTTGCAAGTATAGTACAGCCTTCAATTCAGACATGTAGATATTTTTGAATGTATTTCCTGTGATTTCCAGAAGGAATCTTGTATGAATTGGTAGTTTGGTACACTGTATATTTGATATATTTATGGAAAAACACATTCAAAAATCATAATTACATCTCCCATTCACCAACCATCCTAATTGGATTTGTTTTTTGGTCAAGCCTCTTACTAAGTAATATTGACCCAAACCAAAAATTAAGATTTTAGCCAAGTATACTGACTTAAGTTCATCGAAGTTCTCTCAATTTTTATGAAACATATGAACTTGAAAATGTATTTTAAAAATTTTACATATTTTTCATGACAATGATGACCTCCTATTATATAACACATTCGTCCTCTCAATCACACTCCCAAATTTCTCTCTCTCTCTCTCTCTCTCTCTCTCTCTCGCGTTTAGAGTTTTAACAATATGGCTAAGCTTTCTACGCCTCTCTTTTTAGTTTGTTTAGCATTCATAGTCATCAGAGATGTGTCTGCATATGCAAATGATGATAGACAGGCAAGTACAAGTTCTTACTCTGTTTTTTGGTGAGATGCCCATATGAACTAAACACCTTACAATACGTCTCTCTCTCTCTTTATAACATACATGTTTGCAGGTGTATATTGTGTATATGGGAACACTTCCTGAGTCTGAGTACTCACCTTCATCTCACCATCTCAGTATACTCCAAAAACTCGTTGGCAATATGTAAGATTCAACCTTTATATATGATCCGAATTCGCAACAGTTTACATATGTTATGTAAGAGGATCAAGATTATAACAGTATATCCTCTTGGTGTCTGGTTCTTCTTTCAGTGCTGCATCAAATTTGTTAATTAGAAGCTATCAAAGGAGTTTCAATGGATTTGCTGCCAAACTATCTCAAGACGAGAGTCAGAAACTGCTAAGTGAGTACACTTAGTAAAACATTATTTCTTACCAAAAACATTGTCAGAGACTTTGGTAAGATATTTTCTAAATAACATAACCATACTAAATGTACAGATGTGAAAGAGGTAGTATCTGTGTTTCCAAGCAAAAGTCATGAACTGACTACTACAAGATCGTGGGACTTTGTCGGATTTGGTGAGAGTGTAAAACGAGAGAGTGAGAAAGAAAGTGATGTTATTGTCGGAGTGATTGACAGCGGAATCTGGCCGGAATCTGAGAGCTTCGACGACAAAGGTTTTGGTCCTCCTCCAAAGAGATGGAAAGGTTCTTGCAAAGGTGGCATAAACTTCACTTGCAACAAGTAAAATATATTCTAACTTCTTTTTTTTTTAAAACAAACTCGTTGCAAAGTTATAACAACTGTAATTTTTTTTGTAAATGTAAGTGCTAAACGTTTTGGGGTTAAATTTCTTGTGATACAAGTAAGCTCATCGGAGCTAGGTTTTACTCCAAACTTTCCCTCTCAGCAAGAGACGAAGAAGGTCATGGAACCCACACTGCGTCAACGGCTGCTGGTAATGCGGTTCAAGGAGCCAGCTTTTACGGCCTGGCTCAAGGCACGGCTCGTGGTGGAGTTCCCTCGGCCAGAATTGCCGCCTATAAAGTCTGTCTTCCAGGTCCCAGCCGCTGTAGCGATGTCGATATTCTGGCTGCTTTTGATGACGCCATTGCCGACGGTGTTGATGTCATCTCAGTCTCAATCTCAACCGATCACGTCTCCAATTTATTGAACACTTCTGTAGCTATCGGTTCGTTTCACGCAATGTTTAAAGGAATTATCACGGCGGGATCCGCCGGAAATAATGGGCCTGAGCAAGGTTCGGTGGCAAATGTATCGCCGTGGATGATTACTGTCGCAGCCAGCGCTACGGACAGGCGTTCCATTGACAGAGTCGTTCTTGGTAACAGAAAATCGTTAACGGTACCTTCTCTTCGAGTTTTTATGAATCAAAATGAGTAATTTCAACAGTAAGTTCAGATTTAGTTACAAAGTTCAATAAGTGACTGTGACTGTACTCTGTTTCTTAAACAGGGTATATCAGTTAATTCATTCAATCTCAATGGGACAAAGTTCCCCATCGTTTACGGCCAAAATGTTTCGAAAAAGTGTTCCCAGGCTCAAGCCGGGTGAGTCAGCAATCTCTTCTTAAAATATTTCAAAATTCCAATCTGGATATGGAATCAAAGCACATTGGTGCTTATAATGAACATTGCTATTGACAGTTATTGCTCAGAAGGCTGTCTGGACAGAGACCTGGTCAAAGGGAAAATAGTCCTCTGTGACGACTTCCTAGGAAACAGAGAGGCTTACTTAGCAGGAGCCACTGGAGCCATTGTTCAAAACACTTTCTATCCAGATATCCCCTTTTTGTTACCATTACCTGCCTCTTCTCTGAGCGTCGAGGACTACGAAACGATCAAGTCATACATCAAATCTACAGAGTAAGTAAAGGGTAGTGATGAATCTGATCGCTTGTTCAGTCTTAAAATGTTAAAAGAGTGAAATTTGCAGGCACCCACAAGCCGAGATACTGAAAACTGAAGAGATAGTTGACAGAGAAGCTCCTTATGTTCCGTCCTTTTCTGCTCGCGGGCCAAGTTTCACTATTCAGAACCTCTTGAAGGTAATGAAACCAGTACAAAGATCATTAGCTTGCGTTGGTTTTATAATCAAATGTTTTTCGAATAACATCAATGTTATATGTAGCCTGACGTAAGTGCACCTGGATTAGAGATTTTGGCTGCATTTTCTCCCGTAGCTTCTCCTTCGGGTTTAATGAACCCTGAGGACAAGAGAAGTGTGACCTATAGTATAATGAGTGGCACATCAATGGCTTGTCCACATGTAGCAGGTGTAGCGGCTTATGTCAAGTCTTTACACCCCGACTGGTCTCCCACGGCAATCAAATCCGCTATCATGACAACAGGTACAATTCAACAATACTTTCTTCTGATTTCCTTACTGTTGGAGCTATACAATAATAGTCTTTTTGCCATGGTATATTCACAGCTACCCCCATGAACCTTAAGAAAAACCCCGAGAAAGAACTTGCATACGGGTCAGGCCAAATAAATCCGACCAAAGCAAGCAACCCGGGACTTGTGTATGAAACAGAAACAGAAGATTACCTCAAAATGTTATGTGCAGAGGGTTTTGACTCAAGGTCGCTCACGAAAATAGCAGGACAGAACGTCACTTGTTCAGAAAGAACAGAAGTCAAAGATCTGAATTACCCAACAATGACTACGTTTGTGTCTGCTCTTGATCCATTTAATATCACGTTTAGAAGAACCGTTACTAATGTTGGATTCCCAAACTCTACGTACAAGGCAAGTGTAATTCCTCTTCCACAAGAGATTCAGATTAATATAAAACCAGAAATACTGAGTTTCGATTTCCTGAAGGAGAAGAAATCGTTTGTTGTGACCATCTCTGGTGAAAAACTGAAGGATGGGAGTATTGTAAGTTTGTCTTTGGTATGGTCTGATGGGAGTCACAGAGTCAGAAGTCCAATTGTTGTCTACTCAATCCAGCCTTAAAACACCTTTTGCTTTTTGCTACTTTTCTTTTCTTGCATGTTCGGACCATTCATCAAAAACAGAAAGAAGAAGAGACAAAGTTTTGAGGAACTAAGACATATATCTGTCATTACAAATCACTGATGTCCAGCAAACCCGCTATAATATCCGGTTCATTCTCTTTGAATCTAAGAATTCGATTCAGTTCTTGTAATCTCTCATAAATTGCATCTTTATGAGGGTGTGCTGTATCTCCCGCAAGAAACTCATGCATCTGGTTGTCCATTTCAATGGTGCTGCATCCTGGTTCCTTCTCAATCCCTGATTCTCTCATACTTCCTCTGATTTCAATAGATTCTTTCCATTTCCCTGATTGAGCATAAATATTCGATAATAGAACGAATGTCCCAGAATCTGGATTGTCAGAATCAAGTAGTCTCTTGGCGATTTTTTCACCAAGTTCCATGTTTCCATGGATCTTACAAGCACTCAAAAGAGCTCCTAACATTATATGATCCGGTTCTATCAGCATGTTTTCTATGAATCTGTAAGCCTCCTCTAGTCGCCCCACTCGACCAAGAAGATCGACAATACATCCATAATGCTCAATCTGCGGGTCAACATTAAAAACGCTCCACATAGAATTGAAAACTTCAAGCCCTATATCCAACAAACCCCCATGGCTACATGCATTTAAAAGAGCAACTAAGGTCACCTGATTCGGCCTGAATCCTGTGTTCACCATATCCCGAAATTCATTGATAGCTTCAAAGCTAGCCCCATGCATTGCTAATCCAGAAATCATCGTGTTATATGAAATGACATCTTTGTCTCTCATTCCCCTAAAAACACGCTTAGCCTCATTGATATCACCACACCTACAGTACATGTTGATCAAAGCATTGCCTACATAGTTACTAAGGTCCATCTTTCGGTTCTCAACAAACGAATGTACCCAGCGCCCGAGCTCCAACGCACCCAAATCCGAGCAGGCAGATAAAACACAGACGGCTGTAAATTCATTAGGAGAAACACCCTCAATCTGCATTTCCCTGAAAAGCTCCAGTGCTTTGTTCATCTCCCTGTTTCGAACCAACCCATCAATCATCGCAGTCCAACAAACCGTATCTTTAATCTTGACATCTTGGAACAGCTCTAACGCCTCCTCAATACAACCACGTTCAGAATAACAGTTAATCATGACTGTAGCCGCAACCTGATCTCTCTCAGGCATTTCATCGAACACCTTCTTAGCATCAGCCAGTTCCCCAGATTTCCCGTAAATTTCCATCAGTTTTAGCCCCACCGATCTACCAGACCCGAACCCTAATTTCAAAACCTGGGCATGAATCTCTTTACAATCCTCCAAATCACAAGCTTTCAGAACAGAGGTGATGACGTAGTTATCAGGCAAAACCGAACTGTGGATCATTTTACGATACAACGAAACTCCATCAGCGGAACGACCAGATGATACAAAACCATCGATCATTGCGGTGTACAAGTAGACGTTAGGGTTAGATACGTAACGAAACACGTCGCAGGCGTAATCGACGGAATCGAGAGCGGAGCATACTCGGATAAGTTCGAAAACAACGAATGCATCTTGGTCATGGAAGGTTCGAATGATCCTGGCGTGAATGCATGGAACTTGTGTAATGTTTTTGCAGTTTCGTAATAAAGAGATTAATGCTTTCCTGCGTGATAACCTGAGAGTGTTTGAATCGGGATCACGCCGGAAAGCTGATGGCCCTCCGATGCTCGCCGTCAAGGATGAAATCATTTCGCGCTCAAATGAGAACCGTTAAAAAGACTCAGGTCGGGGTCGGGATGATTAGTGTACTTTCCAATTCTCTTCTTCCCGGTCTTATAAATTCAAATAAACTGATATAACCAAACCAACTAGAAATTTCAATAAACAAAGCAAACCAAATTGTTCAATAAAGAAAAAAAAAGGTGTTAATTTCACTTGTCTCTTTAATAGGCTTTTGTTGTACAAAATATATTCAATACTTAGAAGAGTGCCCCTTGTGCCCTGGTTCACTGTGCCACTGTAACCGATCCATCTTGCTTCAACTTGATTAAGCTGCTCTCAATGTTTCTAAGCACAGGTTTATAGCTGCAACAAATTGCAATAAGAGAATTAGCTCAGACGATTGAAACTCCAATGATTAAAGAATATTCTGTGTGAAACTTACACGCGCACAAGCCCATTGTATGCTTGTGTTGTTTGCTGGAGTTGAGCTGAAAGTTGGAGAACTTGAGCAGATAATGATTCGGCTCTGCTCTGTTCTTTCACAAGTTCTCCCTAACAAAAGGTAATGCGTATTTTCAATCAAACAAACAACAATTCAACTGAAGCCTAGTTCTATCATAATACTTAATAGCTGGTGAAGAGCAAAACCTTCAGAGACAGAGTTTCAGTTCCATGTGAACCGTTGGCGTTGACTTCTGAAGACACACGTGAAAAAGCACCAGCTTGTTCTGTTCTTAACTTGTCCAAAACTTCACGGAGTTCTACATTTTGCTTCAGACATTCTTTCACCTGTATAAAGTTTGGTAGAAATCAACATAAAGTCCAAAAAAAAAAGTTCATACAAAATTTTCTTTTGTTACTCTTACTTGATTCTCCCACTGATTTGATATATTGATGGATTCTTGATAGGAAGCCGAGAGGTTCGAGTTTTCCTCAAAAAGCTTCTCTATTTCAGATGATTGGTTGTCAATCTGAAAATAAACCATGAAAGTAATTTCTACAATCAAGCCTCTTGACCATTTATATATACTAATTGTAGAGACCTACCGCATTACCTCCATAAGAAGCTTTTGCCTACTACTCTCCAATCTTTCAACTGCAACAGCCATATCATGCAACTGCTTCTCGAGTATTTCTTTCTCTTCCTACATGAAAACAATCAAACCTAAAACTAAGGGATAGTCCTATAAAACGTTGAAGAAGACTTATTCTATGCTGGCAAGTGGCCAAAATGGGTCAATAACACTTACCACTGAAAATCCTTTTTGACCTAAATCTGAGACTCCTGCATAATAAATAGCATGGAAAAAGTCATTGATATGTATCCAACAAACAATTTCCGAATGACTTAAAAAGCATTTAAAACGCCACACAGTTCATCCAAACCCTGATGATTGTCACAGCTGCAATACCAACTTCTTTGAAACAAAATAAAAAATAAAAAATGTATAGCATTGCATATTACCTGAGGCCCTGCTAGATACAACTGAAATTTTTTGTTCCAGTTCCTGCTTTTCAGACATTAACGAAGCAACTCGATTTTGTTCTTCAGCTAAACGTTGTTGTTCTTGTTGCCTCAACATTGATTCTTTCTGTGTATGTTAAGAACATTATTATCATGGAAACAGGGACTCTCACGGGGAACATATTATTTTTTTCAAAAATATTCTAACCTGTAATTCTAGTTTTAGGTTAGCCATCTCCTTTTCTAATAATTGTAATTGGTCCGGGGAACCTCCCGTTGACGACCCTCCAACAAATGAAGTACTCATTGATTGCTGTTGAATAGAGTTAAGCTCTGCTCTCAAAGATGCTGCATCTTCCTCAGCCTATTAACAATGGGTTATTATTATCAGAAAAGGAAGTAAGGGGAATTAAAATTGGAAGGCAGAAGACTGTTTCCGTACTCGATATTGTTCCTCCTCTGCCTCTTTGACACGTTTTTTAAGAGTCCTAACTTGAGCTGAGAGATCCTCCTGTAAGCAATAGCTATGCCAATCAAGATGCAATCAACGAAGGAGGCCAAAAGAACTGAAACAGGAATATCCCCTACCCGCAAAACAACAGCAGCATCTTTCTCCATTGCAATTTCCTTGAGGGCTTTTCTCAGAGATGGCACTGTGTTTTGTTCCTTTTATCCATCAACAAGAACATATGTCAAGACAAAGACCCATCGTTTGCCAAATGGACTTCCTAGAGATTCATCTTGCACGCCAAGCCTCACCAAAAAATTTGGATACAAACAAAACAAACCACAGCAAAACCATAGATTAAAAGGAAAAGTTAACTTGTTACTTACCAGCACATTCAACCGACTCTCAAGTGATTCATTCTCGACTTCCTTTGTCTGCAGCTGAATCCCCAAGGACAAAAGAACATCATCAATACATTGCATTCAAAACAAAAACATAGGATCTGAAAAGGCGTAACAAATACCTTTAAGGAAAATATCTTGTTGCGCTCCTCCATCTCTGCGTTCTTCTTCTGCAATTCTTTAAGCTGGGAATATAAAGCACCAACATCTGTCTGTGGAAGTAATTCAAAAACAAACCATTACCAGCAAGATCATCATATCAGTTAAACCAATACAATATGCAGAATTTGAATGAGCCCATCCTCCGACAATATGCAAAACCAAATTCATCCATAAATCCTAGAAGACAAGATTCAATTCAAGCATTATCATTATCACGATCATCCGATTAGATCAAATGTTACCTCAGAAAGCCGATTTCCACTCTCAGATTTTCTGATTACTGGAAAATCTGAAACACATTACAAATTGGAAACAATGAAGCTGTCAATCAAAATTATCAAATCTAGGGGAAAGAGAGAGATCAAAAACAATGAGAGAAGAAATGAAATTACCGGCAGGATTGGGAATTTCGCTAAGATCTGGCCCTGAAGAAGCTTTGCTCAGCCTTTGAGCTGCTCTCTTTTGACGAATCTCTTCCAACTACAAGATCACAGAAACCCAACCATGTAAGAAACCGTCGTCAGAAGAAGACGAGGATGGCGGTACCGGAAATATTCTTACAGTCCGGCGACCTAGAGTTGCGTGGTGCGACTCCATGGTATGAATGTATGATTCCTACAACGTCCGCACCAGATGATTTAGCTCCCGCCTCTGCTCTCGGCAAATTTTGAACGTCGATTTAACGGTGAGAGAGAGTCGCCGGCGAACAAAATAGAATATATTTAATTTGGGCTAATTGGAGAGATAAATAAGGCCCATGGATATTTAACTATCTTACCTCGAGAGCAAGCCCATCAAAAAAAAACTTACATTCAATAAAAGTTGAAAACATTATAATACAGAAATTTTAGAAAACATGATAATATAGAAAAACCATTTTATGCAAATAAATTTATTTTCTGTTCTTCTTTAAAGATACGAGGTATAGGCGTATAGCTGTCTGATAAAATCACAAACTACAAAAGTTTAATTTACATTTATAGCATATTCAAATAAAGAAATGACATTTTTCTACTGCAAAACTGTATTTATCTATTGTGTTTATTCAACGATACAAAAGCTGATAAACGTCCACCACCTTTGGATAAATTGGTTAGTTTTTTTTCTGAAAATGTTACTTCGCTTTTTAACTTTACGACAAGTGGGTAATATGCCAAATAACTAAACGACCTAAGCCTAATTAACTGTGTTGCACAACGTGCGTCTGAACGTAATAAGATTTCATTTCAGTGTTATGACCGTGTTCGAGGGTTTTAAGGAGTTTTGAACAACCAATAATAAAAAAGTTTGGTGCGATTGCATCTTCTGGTAGAAGAATCCATTGCTAGTAGGATTCAATCTCTTTAGAGCTTTATTAAGGTAAATTAGGCAAATATAGACGATTACAGCTATTTAGAGATTTATATATAGTGCAATGAAAAGTAAAGAAAGGAAGCTTAATAGAATATCATCAAGTTGTATGATTGGTATATTATTCATGTTCTTAGCTTTGATCGGAGTTACGTTATACCATATAATTAAAAAGGATATATAGTTCAGTTAAGAAAACTCAGACTTTCACAAATGTACCAAACGTTCACGGTTTTTTAGCTTTTCACGACCGGTGAAAATCTTTGTAGATCTAAACCGCTGTTCACTACACAGTGACATAAGTCACATAACCCAAAGTCAAACTAAATTAAAAACCCTTCGTCGTCTTACAACGAAGAGCAAAAACAGGGTAAAAGAGAAAGCCCAAAAGTCGATGACTCAGGACAAAAAAAAACAAACATTACAAGAGAGAAAAAGAGAAAGAGAGAAACAAGAAACAACTACGTGTTTCTTCGTAGATCAACCACCACAACACTTACGTTGTCCGAACTTCGTCTAGCCAATGCAAGCCTCGTCAGCAACACCGACGCCTTTTCACACGCTTCATCAGATACATCTCCTCCTCCGACCACCACATTCCCTGCGCCGGCGCCATCCCTTTCAGGTGAGGATGTAAGTTGACAGTTGACTTCTCCTCTTAAACACATGTGAACGACGCTACATGCAACTTCGTTTGGAACCACGTCCCAAAGACCGTCACTTGCTAGAATAAGGAAATCGTCTCCGTTGACCCGGTCCATCACGGTTACCTCCGGTTTACTGATTACGTATGGCTTCAAGTAATTATCTCCTGGAAGAACAAAAAAAAAAAAAAGACACTCCGCGGCGAAACGAGATTTAATTATCATCATTATTGAAAAAGTAGGGCACGTAAAAAAACTTAGTACAAAACACTAGCTAGCTAGGACAGGGACAAGAGTGTTTCGTCAAGTGTAATCAATTAAACTGACCTATGGCTCGTGACATTGCAAGTACTCCAAGGACACGTGGGCCATCCCAGTAGATCACTCGACCACCCGCTGCTTGAATCCGGTCTAGCTCGTCCGGACGGTCCGGCTGTTACAGATATAAAAATATTGTTTTGTTGATAACAGTAACACGACGGATTAAAGAATCTTTAAACTCATAAACTTTATGAGATACTCTAATCTAAAAAAAGCCATTTCACATTCTTTAATCACCGTCCAGGTGTTGCATGCCCATTTATCAAATTTCGAATTTTCCAAATACAAATAAATGTATTAAATATAAGAAAATAAAAAAGCATTAAACAACGAGAAATTGATAGGTAAGTTTCCGAACGTGAAACGTAACGAAATTCTCATTTTCCATATACAGTAAACTGTAACCGTAGATCTAGCGGATAAAATTTTAACGATGCTAAAAGCCTAAAACTATACAAGAGACGAGAGATCATCAAACCTTATGATCGGAGGTTAAAGCAATGGCCTTCCCATTACGGCAAAGAACGGCACGTGAGTCACCGCAGTTAGCCACGATGATTTTATCCGGCGTGAGGACTGACACGACCGCTGTGGATCCCACAGCGTCACAGTCCGGCCTCTGAAGCTCGCATCGGCATTTCGCCGCAGCACCGTCGGCGTTCAAAGCCACAACCTCCATGTCCATGCGGTTGAAGCTACGCACCATTGACTTTTCCCAGTCAGCATCAGCTTCATACTCTTCACGAACTAGCTCGTGTAGTCTTTCTCTACATCTCATCGCTACCTAATTATTAAAATAAACAGAAACATCAGAAACGACGTCGTAACAGTCCATTAAGCTAAGTTTTTTTAACAAATAAAACGGCGTCGTACATGGGAACAGCCATGGCCATCGTAAACGCCGCAGTAGTGAAACCCGGAGGAGGAATACTCCGTTTGTTGACGGAGAAAAAACGGATGAACGGCAACGGTGTCTTCCATTTCCCGTCTTTTTCCACAGACTGAAGCGACGCCGTATTTAGGATAAGCTTCAGGATCAGGCAATGCCACAACCGTTGAACTTAGAGACTCGCATAAAACGACGACTTCCTTGGCCGTATCATAGTACACGGCGGAAGCTGAGGCTGCGACGGTGGCTTCTCGTCTCCTCCGTTTCTGTAACTCTTGGTCGACGAAGACAGCGTCTTGTTCGCCGGAGACAAACTTAAATCGCCGGATCTCCATTCTCCTTCTTCTCGCCGCTTGGGAAGAAGAGCTCCGTTCTCGTCTCCTCGTCGTCGTCGTCTTCTTCACCACCGTCGCCGTCGTTTTCTTCATCACTGTGTCGTTCTCGTAGCAAATCTCAGCCATGCGATCGTCGAAACTGTTCAACATTCACACTCCATCATCATCATCATCATCATCATCACTCTCATCCCCCGGACCAAAAATAAATATAAAAAAAAAACTACTGAACGAGACACAGGAGAGAGAGAGAGAAAGAGAGAACAGAAGAAGAGAAGCTTAAACAAGATTAGCCATGGAAGCTTTATATTAGCTTCGTTCACCAGAAGATATAAATAAAATAAAAAATCATCTTTATGTTACGGGCAGGTGTTGCCCGAAACTTTAAACGGGCAGATCACCAAAAACTTCAAAAAAATCAAAATGAAAGAAAGAATGAAGAAGAAGAGAAGAGAGAGAGAGAGAGAGAGAGAGAGCTTGGTGAATGGCGTGACGTATCGCACCTCTATCTGGACGAAATAATCTTGACCGTTGATTGTTAACACGTGTAAATGGTACTTCTATTAAAACCGCGATACGAAACACTTACGTGTGCCAATCAAATCCGGACACAACTCTGAACCTAAAGTGAAAAGAACCTTTGATGACACGCATGCCATCTCTTTTCTTGTTTTTCTTTTTAATAGATTTTTACCAAATTTTGTTATGAAAATTTCTAATACCAATTCCATTTGTGTTCCTTTAGATTGGGTGAATCAACCAATATGTTCAATTAAACATGTGGAAATTGAATTATTATTTTTTCTCTTTGTGAAAGTTATTGTAGAGAAAAATTTAAAACTTATAAATCTTTTTAAAAAGTTTTGGTGTGTTAATTACAGATAAATTATTGTAGAAACAAAATTGACCAGGTGTGACTACCAAATAATAAGAGAAAAATGTGGTAATTAGTAAAATATGACATTACAAAATATAAAGTTGGTGTGTGAATACATTTAAGAAACAATTTTAAAATACATAATACTATTATAAATTTTAAATATAATTAAAGGTGATTAAATATTTATTTATTTAGTAACACTTGTTCTTTTTTATTTGTTTACTTGTCTGGTCTAGTCTGCATATGTTCTATTTGGGTCATATGTTTTATTTTATTTTTATGCAGCAAACATGTAAAGCTATTAGAATAATAGATATGGTTTTTGACATTTGTTATGATGAATCAATATTCAAAGATTTTTTTATTTTAAGGATTTGTTACCTAGTTTTATACAAATTGACAGGGGTGATAATGAATTCAAATACAACTTCTTCATAGTTTTTGACAGGTGTGTGACAGTTACATGATTTCTATGCGTGCAATTTTGTGAGACTTCTCTGACTAATTTTCTATTTTAACTTCAATATCAACATATCTAATGTTTTGGCACACCAGAAAAATAAGAATGCAATCTTATCATTTACAGCTCCATACGAATCTTACATAACTTAAAGTATCAGTATGTAATGTTTGACACACCATAACCTTTTTTTCGTTGAGGACGCGTATAATCCGTGAATTAAAATAATTTTTGAACATAAGTGACAATAACATTACTTCTAATTATATAGTGAAATATAATTTTGAGAACTAAGAAGAATATATAATTGAAAAGAATAAATATTTCAGATGAATGTTACAATTATTCCAAATTTTCAATACTAGTTAAGACCAACGACATATGATTATGATAATACATTTCATATGTCTTGCTAAAATTACTTGGTCACATGTTCTAGTACACAGTTTATTAGTGAGAAAAAGAAATATCCAAAATGAATATGTATTAATCTAATCATTAATATTAATTATTTAACTTATATATACATATATATATATATATATAATTGTCGACTAATTATGAATTATGTATCACATTGCATGAAATCAAGACGAATATGCGGAAAATCGTATAGTAAAAGAATACAGTTTTTAAAATTATATAAAAAATACATGTAGTTATGGTTAAACCGTTAATTTGGTAACGGTTTTACAAATATGCGGAAAACATGTTAAGAAAAGAAAACGGTTAAGAAAAAAAGACATAATATGTGGTTGTGATTAAACCATTAATTTATCAAATTAACATTTAGCTCTTCTCTTTTATTTTTTTGGTAAAAGGAGATTTGGCAAATCTTTATAAATATAATTGTGAAACTATACAAATTAGATAGCCAGTCAACTTTTAGAAATGAAATAAAATATGGTTTGTAAACTGATCAGAAATGACGTCCAATGGGGTACAAGAACGTAGATATGGGTATTGGTTCTATTTGACAAGTGAGGACCACTTCACTTCCCCTATTCTCCTTTTAAAAAAAACCATTTAACAACGTCGTTGACCCCTTTCTCTCTACCATCTCTGACCTCTTTTCTTCCTCGATACTTGACACGTGTTTGCATCCTTCACTTTTGTCTTTTACCATTTTTTTTCTTGGGTCGAGTTTCACAAAGATTTATATAAATCTATAAAATTTAGGGTGTTCAGAATTGTGAGGGTTAATGTACACTTTGTAAGTTGGGGTTAGTTTAAACTGTTCTGTCTTAAGGCATTTTACTTGGAGAGTGTTTTTCTTCGTCTTCTAAAGCTTGGTTGAGATTGAGAGCCTAGGTTTGGAATCGGGTTCTGCAATTTCTAGCCAAAGTGTGATTTCATAATTTTTCCAACTTAAGCCTGATTTTGTAACTAAAAAATATTGTCAATAATACGATTCTGATTTAATGATGATATTTTTCATGCCACCATTAATTCACTAAAAATACAAGTTTAGCTAGGTTGGTCCAACTCGTTTATTAAATGAATTATAGAACTATTCATATAACACCTAAACCAACTAGGGTATAATGTATTTACAACAGCATAAATAAAAGTATTTATTTGATACGTTTTCAAACGGGTAAAACTTGTGTATAGTAATATGATATGATATGTAATATTTCAGATATATAGATTCAGTTATTCGTATCCAATTCGGACGAAACTGTAACATGATCTATGATTTGATTTGATGATATATATATATATAATGTGGATAGTACTAAACCCAATGGTGAGGCTTGAGTGCAAGCAAACTTGTATAGAAAGTCTTGTGGATACCAAATTCTATATTCTTGTGGTCTGTTCGTACGACCTTTATTAGAGACACGTTTGAGAGCTACAACTTAACTGTCTAAATGGAGAGAGTTTTCATGGAAACTCACAACAAACTAAATTATACAGTATTTGGTACTTGGTAAAAGTAGTAGTAACAAACTTTTACCATGTGAAAGTATGTATAAAAGAGAAGCTCATCTTTTTGCGGAGCAATTATATAGGACGTGGAGGCAAGCGATAGGATGACGTGTGAGCTGATGGAAAAGATTATATACTTCATAATAGAGAAGAACCTGATGATTTTCATAATTCGTTCGGGTCTCACAGATTTTCAAATCGAGGGGAAAAAGATATTAAAAAAGGAAGTGCGTGTGTAACACAAGCCACGTGTCTGCAAAAGTTTGATAGCAGTTGCCAGGTTTTTGAAGTTGACAGTAGGCAAATACATTGCGCCACGTGAATGGCCTTCCTTTCTTTCTTTCTATGATCATCAGTACACTATCAATATTATTATTGTTTCATCGAGGCAACCAAAAAACAAAAGAATAATATTATTGTGTCTTTTACAAACAATTTCCTCTAACATTATTAATTCCTTGAGTTCTATACCAACCATCACTTTCATATCTTATAACACAAATACGTCGATTTTAGATTCTATCAACCTTTTATTTTACTGGTCTTTTGTTTCTTTGTATTGTTGATTCTTATATGTATATATAGTGTTGGTAAACTAGTATCATTGATAAGAATATGAAAAAAGAGAAAACACATGGTTAGTAGTACTAGAAGTTACTTTAGTACGTAGTTGGAGAGGGCTTTAGGTAAGGAGACATTATGGATCTCTCTACTCATCTTGCAAAGGTAGTTTGATTGATTTATCTAATATAATTTTGTTTGTAGCTTTAAATTGAAACCTTACCTATTAATTCGTCGTTGCAATTTCCACATCACACATGTATAGTTTGGTACATAAATTCAAACTTATCTTTCTTTAATAATAATGATCAATGCCGAATCCGATGAATGTTCATGTTTGATGTTGAGTAGTGTGTTTCTAAGTTAATCTTGCACTGAGAAATGTATATAAATTAAGAAAACTGAAACTATTACGTAACATGTGACGCTATATATATATATATATATCTATATGTATTCTGATTGATATATTTGATCATCTTTGTCGATAATTTTAACATGAAAAAAGCACAAGTATCTAAGTACAGTGATTATAAGTTATTATCTTCTCTTTAAGTATTAGAGTTGTGCCCAACACCGAATATAACAAACATTATGTCGAGTTCAAACTACATGACAAGTCGTCTGTGTTAGGTCTATATAATGCAAAAGAAAGAGCTAAATTTTTCGAAAGAAAGTGTTTGGCAATTACGAGGAGTGAATGACGTGTCAGAGTATCGGTAACTTACATAAATATAAGGTTTTGGGGTCTAAAGTCTAGTTTTGAGGCCTAAGTAGACGCGTGTCGGACGCAAGCCCCACGTTGCGGTTTTAAGGTCGCTGGACTTCTTTCCTTGTTTTCCTTCGCAGTTTCTTTTTCACCTTTAGGAGAAGAACCTTCAATAGTTACAACGTGGCTGTACTTGTTGTCCGACACGTGTGTCCTCCGGAGAAAGACTTTTTTCCACTCATACTGCATGGCCGGCAGATTGCGTAGTGTTGGGAAAAAAGAAAACTTATGTTTACGTTGTTGACATACATTTGTCAATTAAAACACCAAACTTTTTAACGTCTATACGCATTTAATATATAAGAAGAAGAAGAAGAAGAAAGAAGATTTTACTTTCCACTTATGAAGATTCTACTCACTCGTAACCGATGTTTATATTGATATGAATTTGAAAACATAAGTTTAAGTGACCCACACGTCGAGTTTAAGTTGATGTAGTCGAGTTTTATAGTTTGGTTATAATAGTAAAAAGATAAGTTGTTGAGTGTATTTCTAACCTCGTACATGTTATAAACAGTGTGTTGGGTTTTATATTTCTTTCAGAGCAATATATAATATAGCATGTGAAATTTGACCGTTGGGTTTGGTGTGGGTTGCTCATCTGATTTAAAATAACGCCAATATAACAGTACTATAAATTAAGGTCAATTAGTATAATCAAAGATAATGAAACTGTCCTCATTAATCAATGTTTAAAGATAGTTTAAATATTTTCCAGATCAGTACCACGTGTTACTCGAATTCGACATTTTGCAAAACAAAGCCATAATTTGAATTGACGATTGTCTATCTGGTAGAAGAAGGAAAAAAAGAAGAGTGATTAAAGGGACGTTAAACCAAAAAAGAAGGAAAGAAACGAATATTCAATTTCATTACCAAAAAGTTTAATTGCTCATGCTTTCCGTCACGACACGGACGACACATGTCGATTTGATGATATATAAACAAAAAAGAAAAAAGAAATGCTACTCTATAGTATGGAAATGAAAAAGCATGATTCGTGTCGTGTTAGGCATTTGACAGTGATCTACGATAACTTTCGTGCCTAGCCAATAGTTTTACATATTCTTAAACAATTTAGTTCATAATTGGTTATCATAAGAAATATACTTGTTAATGTTGGGCTAATGCTTTATCTATTAGCGGTTCTAAGACACCGTTGTTAATTGCACAAGAAACCTAAAACGTCGTTGTTAATTGCGTCCTTAATTTTTTATTGTATTGCTTAAATACAAAAACTTAAAACAGTATCTTCTGAAGACATTCCCTCACATGATGACATTTAACAACATTTAAATATGGGCCTAAAGTCCACCTTTTACTGGACCAGTTAGTAATAATATCAGCCCAAAACAATTAAACTAATATATTTGAACTAAAAGGGATTGAAACGGACGGCTGAGATTGCATCGTATGTTCGAATCTGAATTGTATAATTGGAAAGAAGAATATTCGCGTAGTGGGTAGTTTTCGGGTGGAGTATTGGACCCGGTTTTATCTCGGGTCGGGTTATAAAGCTATATATATACCCTCCCCATTAATACCCGCTTCTTTTGATCACTTTCTTCGTCGTCTCTCCCAATCGTCCAATTAATCTCTGCTTCAATTTTATCCAGTGAAGAGGTATGTATAAATCTCTCTCAATTAGGGTTTCGTCAAAACTCACAGAACGTTGATTGAATTGTAAAAGGGTTTTGTTGATTTGGTTCTCTTTGTAGGTTTTTATTTTATTTTGTGCGTTTTTGTATCGAGATGGTGTTGTCGACGAGCAATACTAGCAACGCGCACGAATTTGTCATCGATGACGTTATCAGCAAGGCTCGATGCGATCTCGTTTACAGTGGAGAACTTGATGAGAGTGTTCTTAGCCAGATTCAATCGGTTAGTTTAAAGTTAGGGTTTTTAGGTTTTTTTTTTAATTTTCTCTTCACTGATTGAATTCAAACTACTGTATCTCTAAAGAAGTGGAAAACGAAGATGATACAAGCTGGAGTCATAAGTGGTACGATCGAGACATGTTCTGCTTCGTTTAATCCCAGTCCCACACATGTGAGTCGTTTTCGTAATTTGATTCACTCTTTATATCTTCTTCTTACACAAGGAAACAAAAATCAAGTGTTGTGAATTTGCAGACGCCTCTTCAGACTCGGGAGCCAAATCCTGCTCAGTTTCTCAAGTCTGATCCACCCATGGTAAGTTTTCTTTCTGTTAAATTAAATTACTAAGGCTGATTAGTCACATAACAATTTACTGATGTTGAATATGTTTTCAGGGCCTTATGATGGCCACAAAGACAGAGTGTGACGAGTTTTATATTCCCCAGCAAGATGGAGCGAGAGATCTTGTCACACAGCCAAACTCTTGTGATTTTAATGGTAATTTTCCGAATGCTATCGCTTGGCTCATCGGCATCTTCTTGGTTTCTATATCTCACTTGTGTGAGTGATGAAGATGTAGATGAGAATGAAGAGCTTTTGAATGAAGACGATGATGATGAGGAAGACGCTATTGATGATGATGATTCAAACATTCCACATATGGTCTTGTGTCAGTTTGATAAGGTAACCACGACTCTAGTTTGTCGTTGGTACATATTACTAACATTGATTGGCTTAATAGTTAATACTTCAACTATGTGCTGAATGTTGCAGGTGAAGCGTTGCAAAAGCAAGTGGGAGTGCAAATTCAATGCGGGCATTATGCAAATTAACGGCAAAAATGTTCTTTTCTCAGAGGTTTGACCAACTTCTCACCATGGGAGTCGGATATATTTTCAACTAAAAAAACGTTCTGATTTTTTCACTTGGCTCACACATCCTCCTCTTAATTCTCTGCAGGCCACTGGAGATTTCAACTTCTAAAAGATGCAACAAGAAACACCCTCTTCTCAATTTACAGAACATTTTTTGGCTTTGTTCCAATACATCTATGCAAGGGTTTAACTGAATGGAAGCAATTTGCAAAATTTGACTATTAATGATCAAAACCAAAAGACATGAATATCTTCTCTATATAACTTTAAATACTCCGCAAAGGTATAAAGAAAGGGTTTGCAACTTTCAAAATTGAAAAATCTGTTTCTCATGCAGCACCAGCATTCTTGCCCTTCTTCTTCTGAAGTTTCTTCATGTAGAATTCGAGCTCTTTCCCTTCCAATATGTACCTGTTTCAAATCACACCAAAAACAAAGATCAGTATTTAAACTCAGGAGAAAACACAGACTAGGATGTGACATCTCTTATTAATTTACCCATCAGCACGGCCACATTGTCCGGGTCTTGATGCGATGCAAGCAAGCAACCTTCCGCTACTAAATTGCTCTTCAAGGTGAGAGTCTATTGCTCGGTCTTCTTGTCGCATCTCAAGCTTCCTTTGTACATGATTGCTTTTCTTAACTTCCTCAGTGGTTACCGCATCTCCTCCCTGAGATTACAGTCACCAATCAAATCAGAATTGGTTTATGAAAAAAGGGAACAGTCAACAACACTAAATGATCAATCATCAAAGGACCAAACAAACCTCTCCTTCTTTCTTGGTTGCAGCAGCTTTCTTCTTACGACCAATATCAACTCCATAATGTTGGAGATACCATTGTTTGAATGGGGCAGCATCAACTTGAACAATTGCACTCTTTACAAGAGTTTGTGTACGAACAAGCTCATTGTTAGATGCATTGTAAGCAACATCCAAGATCCTGGTCTTACGGGTCACAGTTTCGCTTCCCCACGAGAAGTTTCCTGTATCAAGCCTCAAAGCTCGCCACTTTACGTTCCCACCACGCACACGGATCCTCCTCACTGTCTTGTTACTTGATAGCTTAGTGTTAGCTGGTTGCCTTCCAAGCTCATACCTATCAACAGATAACCAAAGTTAGTCTATCTGATCAATTCTGCATCAACCAGAAACTATACTAAGGTATCAAACAGAATTGAGTGTAGACACAATCAAAATCAAAGAACACGACAAACTCATGCTTCATTTTGATTCCAATCTAATCTCTGATTCCGAGGAAATTATCAAAACTGAAGCAGGGGAAGATTAAAAAACGCTTACTTTCTCTTCTTCCTCCACTTCTTTTGCTTACCACCAGTGGCACGTCTCTTGTGAATTGAATCACGAGAGATACCTGCAAAAACATAGAATCAACACTTGGTCAATACAACCACCATGGAAGAAGTATTTTTTCGAACATTGATGCTATGAAATTAACATTTTCGCCATCAACGACACGATGAATGAAGAAGAAAATGAAAATATACCCATGATTTCAAAAGCGTTTGGTTCTCAGTTCACACGAGCTTCAGAGGTTTAAGAATGGCGGAAGAGAACTTAGACAAGATTAAAGAGCTATAAATAGTTTACTATCCCGTACACGAACAAAAACCCTACATATATCAATTTACAATCTTGTCCTTAACTTCAAATACAACCACACATTAATAAAAAAAGGATTGGTTTTTTTAAAAATAAAACTTTTTAAAAAATCAGATTGTCGAAGATGAGAGTTTAGAGACCAAAGTTAGCGGGAGAATCTTCGGTCGTTTCACTTCCGATCATGGCTTTCGCTGTCTCGGTTCAGTCACATTTCTCAATTAAACCCTTAAATCGAGCCCAATTCAAGAACCCTTCTGCTCGTACTTTATTAAGCTCGTGTTTTGAGTCGAGGTCTGCTTCATCTTACCTCTGTTTAAAGGAGCATACATGCTTGGTTTCCAAACCGGGTTTAGTCTCCAGAAACAGACAAAGATTCCAGGTGAGGATGAAGTTCCGGATTTTCATTTGTTCAAAAAAAATTCAAAATGTTTGATTTTTCCAACATGTTTGAGTTTTTTTGGTTAAGGTCGGAGTTGGGAAGGGAAGAGAGTTTGCCGACGGTGGAGAAGTAGCTGATTCGGTTGCCTCTGATGAGCCAGAGTCATTTTCTTGGTCTTCTGTGATACTCCCGTGCGTATTGTGATCCGTGCTTGTTGTTTCAGTCACTGTTATAGATTTGTCAATTCTTGAGTAATGGGTTTTTTTGAGTGATGATTTGTGGTTAACAATGCCTTACGTATCATCAAAAAATAGTGGAAAGATCTGTGGGAGCAGTTAACAATGTGTTATTTGGAGAGATTGTTATTCACATTGCTCTGATTGTAACAATAATTTGCTTGAATCCTTAGGTTTATATTCCCGGCTTTGGGAGGACTTTTGTTCGGGTATGACATTGGGGCCACCTCCGGTGCTACTCTCTCACTTCAGGTTACCTAAATTCTCTACTTTTATCTTTAATCATGCATATTAGCTTCCAAACTTTATTAACATCATGTGCTGCCTTGTATGGTATTGAACAGTCACCTGCGCTTAGTGGAACTACATGGTTTAACTTCTCACCTGTTCAGCTAGGGCTTGTGGTATGTTATCTGGAAATGATTTTCTATATTTAAGTCATAAAGTTAGCAAAAATGTTAGTTGTTACTGCATTTCATTGTGTAGGTGAGTGGATCCTTATATGGAGCGCTTCTTGGTTCAATCTCTGTCTATGGCATTGCTGATTTCCTTGGTAAGCCTTGTTTTTTTTCCTTGGTCTTCTTAACTGGTTGCAGAAGTGTCTCATTCTGGTTTTACTTTACACTTTTTATGAAGGAAGAAGGCGGGAACTAATTATAGCTGCTGTTCTCTATTTCCTCGGGTCTCTGATTACTGGCTCTGCCCCTGATCTTAATGTTCTCTTGGTTGGAAGGCTTCTCTATGGATTTGGTATTGGTTTGGTGAGCTTTGGAAACCTGAATCTATGTGATCATTTTGTTTTCCATTTCTTTGCTGATTGTTTTTTAGTGTTTAATTAAATTGGTTTTTCTTGATAGGCAATGCATGGAGCTCCCCTCTATATTGCTGAAACATGTCCATCTCAAATCCGTGGAACTCTTATATCTCTGAAGGAACTCTTCATCGTGTTGGGAATTCTGGTAAATAATGTCAATCTCTTCCCTGCATGATTTCTATGTATTCATTAGTAATCTTTATTTCCTTCCTATGCAGTTGGGATTTTCTGTTGGAAGCTTCCAAATTGACGTAGTTGGAGGGTGGCGGTATATGTATGGATTTGGTACCCCTGTTGCTATGCTGATGGGACTAGGCATGTGGAGTCTCCCTGCATCTCCTCGCTGGTTGCTTCTTAGAGCTGTCCAAGGTAAAGGACCTTTACAAGAATACAAAGAGAAGGCCATGCTTGCCCTCAGCAAATTACGTGGCAGGCCTCCAGGTGATAAAATGTCGGAGAAGTTAATAGATGATGCCTATTTATCTGTGAAAACGGCCTATGAAGATGAGAAATCTGGAGGAAGCTTCCTGGAAGTATTTCAAGGGCCTAACTTAAAAGCTTTGACAATTGGTGGAGGTTTAGTGCTTTTCCAGCAGGTGAGTTCTTCTTTGCTGTTTGCATTAGGATGAATGTGAGAGCATCATTTTTGACATAAATTATACTCTGCGTCGTCGTGACAGATTACTGGGCAGCCAAGTGTTCTTTATTATGCCGGTTCGATTCTTCAGGTATGCTTCTCTTAACCTTGAAATGAATGAGGTCTACGGTCTACCTACTGATTTTTAGTGTCCTAGTTTGATATTTAATGAGATTTTATGTTCGCTTGTCTATTCAAAGACTGCTGGATTCTCTGCTGCTGCTGATGCAACTAGAGTCTCTGTTATTATTGGTGTATTCAAGGTGCTCATTTCTTTTTCTCTCGTCTTGTTTTACCTGTGTATATATCTTATTAGTTAACAACTTAAAATACTCCCAATTATTCAATACTGACATTTTCAATTAATAACACTCTCCCAGTTACTGATGACATGGGTAGCTGTTGCGAAAGTTGACGATCTTGGCAGACGACCCTTACTGATTGGAGGTGTCAGCGGCATTGTATGTCTTCTTGTGCATGGGCTATCTGGCAATTTTAATATCTATATGTTCTGTTATCTTGCTTTCTGAATATTACTGTGGCCTTTCATTGACAAAGAAATTTTATATCTTCCAAATTCCAGGCTTTATCCTTATTTTTACTGTCAGCATACTACAAATTTCTTGGAGGCTTTCCCCTTGTCGCCGTTGGTGCATTGCTTCTCTATGTTGGTTGTTACCAGGTTTGAACTCCAGCTCGCTGTTATCTGTGGCTACAGATTTTTTTTGTCTAGCATATTTGAGAAAAATGGAAACTAAGCTATGCTACAGTTTCAGCAATATTCACTAAAAAGTATTACTTTCTTCCGAACCAGATCTCATTTGGACCCATCAGCTGGCTAATGGTGTCGGAGATTTTTCCACTTCGCACAAGAGGTAGAGGGATTAGTCTTGCAGTTCTTACAAACTTTGGCTCCAATGCTATCGTGACCTTTGCGTTTTCACCTTTAAAGGTAAAAAATTTCTGTTCCAATGCTGTTTCTATGCTATTAAAGTTATCAAGTAACTCTCATCAACACATGCATTCTCTGCAGGAATTGCTTGGAGCCGAGAATCTATTTCTTCTCTTTGGAGGCATAGCACTGGTATCATTGTTGTTTGTAATACTAGTAGTTCCAGAGACCAAGGGTCTCAGCTTGGAAGAAATTGAATCCAAAATCTTGAAGAAGTGAATTGTTGAAAAATATGTTTGTTATTGTTAGTTCTCATGAATGAATGTATATGGATCTAGTTATACCTTTTGTGACATAACATGTTTCATACTCTTATGGGAAATACAAAGCTTTTTCATGCTTATTGTAGCAGTAATTGGATTTTTTTTTTGGTTTGGGATGGAAACGAAAGACACCAAGGGATAACCAACTAACCATGAAAGGTTTTCCCAAGTATAAGTTGGTAGCCCTCTCTCTCTGTTCTACGTGATTCCATTTATAGACTGTTTCATTAATGGAAGTTGATAAGACATCCTCTTGCTCAGATTAACGTGCCTGAATGTTCATTAGCTGGACCAAGCATAGGAATGAAGGGTTGATAGTTGGCAACATCAGCACTAGGGATCGCATACCTTCTGCCCTTCGACCTATGTAAGTAAACTACCTTTGTTTATTTTCTCAGTAAATGCATGTCTAGTTAATTGATTTACGTTAAAGTTTAAAAGACGAAGAAATTGTAAACCTAGCATCCTTCCACTGTTTTTTCCAGGTAACTATCTTTATGACAATTGGTTTGCTGGTTTTGTAGGTTCTTAGGGAAATCATGTGTCAATTGGATGCAGTTTTATGCAGTGTCAAAATACCAATCCCAGAAGTGTCTGGAGGCATTTCAGGCAAAATATGACCAGTTCCTACAAGATAAGGTATGTCTTCTGGCTTCTACGGCAAACAGAATAGCCCAAGCTTGAGTATCATATCCATGGATAGAGTCTCCTTCCAATCTAGCATTGACACACCAACCCAGCCCCTTTGTAATGTGAAACTTTTACGACCAAATGAAGTTAGATTTTCTTGATTAAGAACAATAAGCCGCTAAGGTTCATATGGCATCAAGAGAATATAAAGAAACGATGTTTTCATTTTAAGACAAATTCCCTGAAATTATATACAAAATAAAGTAGCTTTATATAGATATGCAAACATCACATCATAAACACAATCATTCACATTAAACACACATAATTGTAGTAGAATAGTACTTTTTTTAGTCAAAGCAGCCTGTGATGCATGCTTTAACGACCACCATATAGGATTGTAACATCCTCAAATGAGAAATTAGCTGATGAAGAGGTGGTTGTCATTTGTGTTACTGTTTCATGGCTTATATTGGGTATACCAATTGCAACATTATCAAATGATATAGCTGGAACACTAACATTTCCTTCCAGATATTGTAATATCTGTCTCATACTAGGTCTGTTTTCTGGGTTGCTCTGTGAACAAAGCATGCCTAGTTTCAAAAGCTGCTTGGCCTCTCCAACTTTAAAGTCTATTAGTTTGCTGTCAACAGTATCAGTTAAAGCATCTCTTCTCCCACAGCTCGCAACCCACTTAACCAAAATCACATGTTCACGTGGTGCATCAGGGTCTACTGGTCTCCTCCCACATACCACTTCAAGGATGAAAGCTCCAAAAGCATAGACATCGGTCCAAGTAGTAGTTACTCCCATTGCAGTAAGCTCTGGTGCCATGTAGCCAATGGTTCCTACCACTCGTGTGGCTTCAAGATTCACACCACGATCATGGAATCTGGCTAACCCAAAGTCTCCCAACTTTCCATTTAGATCAGCATCTAAGAGAATGTTGCTGGCTTTTATATCTCTATGTAACACGACTTGTTCCCACTCTTCATGCAGATACAGAAGGGCAGATGCAACTCCCTTAATTATATTTACTCTCTGAGACCAAGTGAGGTCTTTCAGCTTGTTTCTATTGAACAAGTAGTCATCAAGGCTTCCATTTGGCATGTAATCATAGACCAAAAGCAATTCACCTTTCCTTCTGCAGTAACCGAGGAGCTGAACCAAGTTCTTGTGCCTTAGCCTTCCCATACTAGCAATCTCTGCCACATACTGCTTCATTCCTTGTTCTGCATCATGGTATACTCTCTTAACCGCGATTTGTGTACCATTGGGAAGTATTCCTTTATAGACTTTTCCAAAACCTCCTGCACCAAGTAGATGATTCTCCCTGAAACCTTTGGTTGCTTTGTATAGGTTCCTAAAGGAGTATCTTTGGGGATTATATTCTTTTTCCCATTGTTCAAGAACCTCTGCGTACTTCTTTTTCTTGTAAAGATACACAATTCCTCCCAGCACTATTAAAATAAAAGCAACTGTTGCTATACTAGTGCCTATAACCGCTCCAAATGGATAATTTTTACCCCCTGGTGATGTTGGAGGTGTTGATGATGGTGGATGAGAGGGTGATGGTAGAGAAGATTGCGGTGGTGAGGTTGGTGGTGGAGAGGACGGTGGTGGATCTGAAATCATTGAAATGTCAAGGCTTTCTGCTTCTCCGCCTTTCTTGAAACTCCATCCAAAAATATACTGGTCACTTGTGATTGTGCCTGTAGAACCAGAAAATCCTACATACATCGTCTCATTGAAAACTTCTGAAAGATTGATGGACCATGACAAGAGGGGCACACTTGGTTTGATGGATTTTGAAAACAGAGGCGAAACTGGCTTTGGAGTCGGTACTGGAGCTAACGTTACATTTAGTAGTTGCTCTATTGCATCATAGTCTATCCAGATTAGAATACTTTTTCCACTCGCAAGCAACAAACTTGTGTTCTTTCCCTCTGCCTTATTAAAGTAACGAGCTTCTGCAGAATCAACTGAGACTATACTGTAAACATCAATACCCACATGGTTGCCCCCTTTGTCTAATGACTCAGAGCTTTCATGAGTGTCAAGTTCTACAGCAAGGATATGGTTTGTAGCCTGGTTATCATTTGTTCTATTGAAAATCCCTAAATTTGAATTTGCAGTGCCGTTAGAGCTGAGGTATTTGGTAGGAGATACCACAAAAGCCATTCCGTGACCGTTGGCAATGGTTTGCAGTGGGAAGATTGCAAAGACAAATTCTGTTGAAAAGGAAAATGAACCGAGGGAAGACTTTGTGAACTTGATGGGACTGTTGTGGAAAGCGTGACCAGTGCTCTTGTTTGTACCGTCTGTTAGATGCAACGGACCATCGTGTGTATTTGCCATTCCATCAAGTTCGAGGTTTGCTTTCCTGAAGTCATAGAGAACAAATTGATCCCCTTCTTGAGCAAAAACCAAAAAGGTTACATGGATACCAATTATTATCCAGAAACCCACTGATCCTAGAAGTACTCCAGCCATCAGAAACAACGATAATCTTCTCTCCCACCTTAGCTTGTGAATCTCAGATTCTTCTGCACTTTTTCTTTCTTTTCCATGAGAATTGGGTTTCTGACTGCAGAAAACCTTGAGTTGACCTTTGGAAGACACTATCAAAGAAAAGCCAAGAAAGGTTCTTTGCTTTTGAATTGGTAATAGATCAGTACTTATGTCATTATTTAACTGTTTTTTACAGTGTATGGGTTAATAACTTTGATAGTTTGCCTCAAGATAAGTCATAAATGGGTACACTGCTCTGTCTCGTTGCTTTTTAGTTTCTAGCTGATTGATTCTACTTCACGAGACAGAAGGTTTCAGGTGTGATCTGATTTGTTTTCATGAATGAGTATGTTCCATGTCTCTCTCTGCCAATATGAAATAAACTAAATCTGCAATGTATACTAAAACACTAAGTTTTCATATATTGATATAATGAGGTTATAACTAGTCAGGGTCATATGTTTTCAGTTTGGATATAATGCTAAACTAGGTTATCCTACGTACGTGCACATATCACTTATTCTCAGCATTGGGATAATGGTTTGAACAAGTTATATTCCAAACATATTCTAAATCAAGAAATGCAAGTTGCATGTATAGTTTAACTTCTTTGACTTGATCAATGATGATTAAATTATGTATATCTGTGAGTAAATGATGAATTAGCTTGCATATTCTCTTTTTTTTACGTTGAAGTTTCCTGCAGATGACAGTGCAGCTTCTGTGACCTATTCACATTGGATAAGATAGGCACAAAAAGCATAGATTTTCAAAAGAAGCAAGCAAAAGAGATATCTCTACATTCTTTTTCAGTCACAAGAATTCTCCACAAGACATGGTTTTGACTTTTGAACATCAATTTGTGGATTTTTTAATTTACTTAATAATGGTTTGTGATCCAATGACTTTTTTTTTGTTCTTAAAGATGAATGCAGGCTGAAATATAATAAACGAAAGAAATAAATGTGAAGGGAAAGGACTTGTGGAGTCCAATAGCACTCTTCAATGGATATTTCAAGTAAAAAGGTTTATTAAGAAGATGGCTGTTATGGTTTTATAGGCTTTTCGAGAAAGGTGGAGTAATTCAATATTTGTCGGCACTAGTTGCAGAACTGTGAACATATTTATCCCAAGCTTCAGTACCTTCTCCAAGCGTCCTTCCGAGGGGGATGAGGACTCAACCATTAGAGACTAGTAAAGTTCATCACTAACTCTCTCCTTCTTCATAACTATTCTCAAACTATGTATATGTGTATAGTTTATTTGCTTCCTCTCTATTTTCAATAACTATATGACCCAAAAAATATCATATATTGTACTTGTGCGACTCTAAATTTTTTAACATGAGTTCTTGTGCGTGTAAGACTGTAAGCAGATAACGATGACCTACTCGATTTAATGATTGAATTTACGAGAACACGAAGTGGTTCATAGTCTTTGAGCTAAAAAGACAACCCATACAAGAAAACAGAAGAATCTGATGAATAATATATAATCAGAGTCCAGAGAACTGAGCAAAATAGAACAAAACATTCAAGAGATTATACATCTTAGCTATGATTTCCAACAATTCACTATCTATGGCACGAATATATAAAAGTCTTTAATGAATTTGGTTTCACATTGAGAGCTGAGTAGCCTGATTCCGATCACCAAGATATTATCGCTAAAGCCTCTCTCTATATATTACTTTTCTTGTTATTGTTAGAAAGAATGTATATATATATATTTATTGAATATAAACAATGTGTAAAACAATCGGATGACCAAAAACACCAAATATCTCCAGGAGCTATTCTAAACACACGAACCCTTAGCTACCATATCTAAACAAATCATTAAGTGTAGCTGCAGGGTCATCATCTCATAAGAGTAACACACACTTGCTAAAAATAAAAAGAAAGAAATATAACTTTCCACAATATATAGAAATCTTTCAGAATATTGGTGCTCCTATCAACTCTTCTATCATATCGGCAGTCCACTCTTCTTCGTCTTCCCGTCTAATCTCTGTGGCTTCAACCTGCTCATCCTTCTCTGTTGCGGGTGAGTCCTTTTGCTGCTGCTCCTCCCTCCAGGAAGAAGAAGACTCATGCTGCTGATAATGACTAGTACAAGTAGAAGCTTTTTCAGGTACTTGACCAGTTCCATCCACGTCTGCCATCAACTTTTCTATCATATAGGCAGTCCAATCTCCTCCGCCTTCCCCTGTAATCTCTGTGAGCTCCTTCTCTATTGTGGGTGTGTCCTTTTGCTGCTGCTCCTCCCAGTAAGAAGAAGGCTCATGCTGACCATAATGACTAGTTTTGAGTGCTTCCTTTTGCTGCTGCTGCTCCCAGGAAGAATAAGGGTCATGCTGATCATAATGACTAGTAGAAGTAGAAGCTTCATCATCATGTTGATAAAACTCCTTCTTCTTCTTGGACTTCCTTTTCGTATGCTTCTTGCAGGGGACTATCTCCTCATCATCCTCATCATCCTCATCTTCCTCATGATGAGCAATCTCCTTCCCCTTCCCCTTCTTCTTGCACCATTTTTTCTTGTGAATCTTGCAGAGGACCAACTCCTGGAACGTCTCGTTATCTTTGTCAGTAGGTAACCTAAACTCGTCCATAATCCAGCTGCATGAAACATCAATAGGAGCAGCACCACCGTCTCCTCTCTTGTGCTTCTTGCTCTTCCTGGGGCTATGATACGTTAAGTTCTGCCTTATCCCGATGATGTCCCCTGTCTCCTCGTCGATGATATCTTTTGTCCCATTCGCACTCCAGTTCCCAAGGTCAGTGCCATCGTCTCCGATGATCTTCCGCTTAGAGTACTTACCACAACCAACCTTCTCTTTGGAGATCTGAGTCTTTGTGGTGAAGTAATACCACTCGTCTTCCTGGAGAATAGGATGGTTGGTTTGGTTAAGCAACCATGGCTCCTTGGCATAAACATCCTCCATCCCTATGAAGTCTCTTCCACGGTATTCACCTCTTAGCATCGGTTTAAGATAACAATTGATGATTTCGTCGTCTGAGGGATCAAAGTGAAACCCTTCATCATCATCTTCATAGTACTCCGTCGTCATTTTATATGCTTCTCTCAACAATTTTATGTTATGTGATTTTAGATTATGAAGAGAGATATGAGATTATGAGTTAACTTGTGTGTCTTTATATATCGGTGCTTTTTTCCAACAAAAATTTGGTCTCGCAAGATTTTGTATATCTTAATATTTTATTTAAGATTTTGTATACATCTCGATATTGTTTATAATATTTTTTATATATAAATAATATGTAATCTGTTGAAAACAATATTAATATATATATATATATATATATATATTACGACTTTCTTCTTTAAAACAAAATTCAGTTTTAAGATGGCGCAACAAATAAATAAGTTAGGTATAATTTTATTTGCAGCTAATGTTTAGAGTTATTTAATAAATTTTGTTTCATATATCAAAGAGATTCTCATAACACACAATTATCACATAATAAATTTACATTTTCTAGCGGGAAAAACTTATTACTTCTTTTCCAAGCATCAGTTCATACTACAGTTTTGACGATTTATGAATTATGATGACAAAATTTTTAACAGACGATGCTTGGAATCCTAAAAGCCTACACAACTTTCTTTTTGTGTTTATATATTTTGGAATCCTAAAAGCCTACACAACTTTCTTTTTGTGTTTATATATTTTGGAATTGGACAATCATAGAACGAAGGCCAAGATATTTTTTGTACTTGTTCTTCTTACTTCCTATATATACTTCATGTGTCACCTCTATGGCTTCGACTTGTTCATCTTTCTCTGATGATCTTTCAGGAACCGAATAATCCTAGTTAATGGGTTCTCTTCCGGTGGCAAAACTGAGACGGGTGATACAATCATTATTGAGCATTAATGTCGACATTGTAAATGGATCGTTGAATGTATGCGTCTTAATTTATGTTAGTTCGGATCTTTGCGTTCTTGATCCTAGCCTAAGAAAATACAAAACACAAGTCAGATTCTTACTTCACCTAAAAATATTTTATCTGGCAAAGTCATTAGAGAGTTTCCTTTTTTTCCATCAGTTAAGTCAAAACTAAATCTTGGGTTAATTCTTGGGTTTGTACCCAATAGGTTTGTACCCAATAATATAATTCTGTGGTTGGAAAAGAATAAGATTATATTGTTTATCATGCATGCGTTTGGACACTAAAAATCTTGAATCTAAGAAAACCCAGCTCAGATTTTTTTCTTATATATATTCAAAACTGACGACAGTTGTTATAATTTCTTGTGTTTGTATCCAGCTGCATGCAATACTCGTATTGTTCTTGGATAATTTCCCTATAGCTAGCATATATTATACTGCAGGTACTCATAGGTAAGTAAAACTATAGTGGAAAAAGTTTCCCACCATCATCACAGGGGGGTTATTTTTTTTTTCCTTAAATATGAAATTACTGTACATAATAGTAATACAACTAGTGGAAAAAACGACTCAATTTAACTCCACTACGTTACTCACCGAAGCCAACCCAAAAATTAATAAAAAATCCATGTCTCAATAGATTTAATTTAGGAATTGTAAAGTACATATTTTTTTGAAAAATATAATAACTTAATAATTATGTATTTTAATTAGAATGAGTAATAAAATACTAATATTGTTTTTAATTTAATGTAGACACTCTCCTTTAATTGTGCAATGGGGATGCTCTCAGTCTTTTAAGATTTCATGAGAAAAAAAAAAAAGAAGAAGTTGTGCGTGAGTAGTAGTAGTAGACGAAAACATAATACTTGTTTTTTTTTTACTGAGAGCAAGATCGTCGTGGCTCGAAGTGGCTAAGACAAGCAGCAACTATGAAGACCGTGCGAGACAATAAAATATCAGTAATTACTGAGTAGTTAATAAACTTATACCAATTTATATTCAACGGAACAAATAATAGAATTAAAAAATATGCCAAATGTTCTTCTCTCTCTGCCAATGGATCGGAGTAGTATAATAATTTATTGTGTGTTTGCCGAGTGGGACTTTGTGCGACAAGCTTAAGTGATCCCTTTCGGACATTTAAGATAATGGTATCTTTTCCTTTTCATCTAACTTTAACTGTTGAGTGGCAGATAGAAAACAAAAAGTAGAGAACTGCAATTGAATTCATATCGTTGAATGTTAGATAACTAATTCTCCTTGCACACACACACACACGTGACATTAATTAATTTCTTTCTTAGCTTAAGTTAGTGTTTTACCTTTTTGTAATTAGTGAAATTTTGGTAGATTATATCACTACTTTTAATCTGATTATATAAACTCATTTCATGGTTGTGTGTAATGTTTTTAGTAACATGCATGCTTTCATGTTAGCGACTCTGTGAAACTATATTTCATCTCACAAAACCTAATTTTTTGACGAATGAATTAAGTGATTTACTCGTCGGTGGATGGGATGGAAGAACAATAGTAGAGCATGCGTACTTGTATTTAGGGAAGACTAGTTTTGCTAGTTGCTAACTAAAAGAAAGAAAGGAAGAAAAAAAGGGATTCCTCTTTTGTCTTTATAGTTTTGTTTATTTTTATAATGACTCGATCTTACTTTTAAATTCATCTTTTTTTTGTTCTAGTTTGCTTTGTTTTGCTTATATGATCATGAATATCCCACTAAATCATAAAGGACTTTAGTTTCGTCTTTCTTTTAGTGATGGTGGTGGTGTCCCCATGAATGTTGATTTCATCTTATATATACGAAGAGTATACCTTTGCTAGATTTCAATCTTGCATCATCAAATGACAATAATAAACGTTTTTATCTACAAATTCATACATAACAAATGAACAAATGAGCAACTCAGAAAATAAAAGTCTCAATGTAATTATGATAACGCCGTACACGTACTTTTATATAATTATATACTCTCAACCTTCATTGATACTACGATAGTAAGGAAGGAGTAATTAACAATAAATACTTCACCTATATATACAGTTAGGTTTTCTTTATATCGAAAGTTAATAGTAATACGTAAAAAGATGATGATCATACACTATTAGTATAAGGATTCTTGGAAACCACAGTATATGATCTTGAGCTGTGTCAGTGGACCCAAAGTAATCTATGAAATTCAATCCCACGATCGACCCACCAACAGAGTCCTTTTTATTAATCTATACACACAAATATCATATTCCCTTATTACCAATATACAGTTAATAGTTTTCTCATGAAACAAAAACACTAGGGTATTAGAAATTGACCACACGATGACACGATTTGCATTTGTTTTTGGTGCAGATATCTCTACAACCAGAGAGACTATACACTTGTTTATACAATCAGAACACTATTTTGTCCAGTTTTTGTTTTTTTTTTATATACATTTAGCTCTAGTAGTTTAAGTTTAACCACATACTGTACATATAACTAGCTAAACGAGTATATAGTAATTATGAAGCATCTCTTTAACAACACTGATGGTCTGATGTGAATCATGTGATCAAATCATTGTCTTACAATTATATCGTATCTTTTTAAAGTTGTCATTATATGATGAATATTATGATGAATTTTTGTGTTGACATTATTATTATTATTTAGACTGTTTATCTTTATGAAAAAGTTGATTATTTTTTTTGTTTGGTTTGTTGTCAGTTTTAGTGTGTTTTGGGTTAAATCTTTTCTAAGTAAATAATGCTAAGATAAGACACGTAAACATGTGCAAATATATATTTATACAGATGTAGGGACCGTGTCTGACATAAACCATTCCCGCGCCTTCCTCGATGATGACAAATATAAGATCATCTCAACCGTTCGATTTTATTACTTTTACTTTCATTCTCCACCGTCCGATTATCTTCTTCTCTCTCTCTAGCTTTTTTTTGTGAATTGTGAATCGAATCGATCGCTTCTTCTCTCTGTTTCTTTTTTGTTTGTTCTCTTGGATCTTCACTTTTTGCTGATTCACTCACTCTCCCTACTTAATTTTTTTTTTTTTTTTTTACAAATCTCTCTCAGAGTATATTCTTCGTCTTCTCCTTCCTCTGAGTTGCGTCGGTTCTGCTGCATTTTCACTTCGTCTTTTCAGGTAATTTTCCTTCCGATTTCTCGATTTTTTTTTTTTTTAGCTCTTGAGATTTTCTCGGGAAAGTTTCTTCTCCTCTTTGGTTTTGGTAGAAACGTTACCGTTTTGTTGAGCTAAGAAATCACTCCAGTGCCGTTCTATGTTTAATATATGAAGAATCTAAATAAACGTAGCGAAATTTTCGGTTTCGATTCAAATCGGAACCTCTGATCAGTTTTGATTTGTTGATTTTTTAGAACAATTTCGTGTGTATATGTGGTCTGCTCCGAGCTTACGATTTTGGTTAATTTCGAATTCTCTTATTGGATCCGTCAAAGATTTTTGGATCAAATCTGAAAATCGTATTTGTCGTATACGCGGTGTTCGTGATGGTTCTTCATAAATGCACGGACGCATCGTTCAGCTGTTTCTTCGGGAAACAAATAAACGGGGGGTCCTATTCGTATGAGTATATATTTTTTTTAGCATTATCGAAAGATCTTTTGATGATTATATTTGTGTATATGCATACATACAAAATCATCATTATTATCTTCCTCCTGCATTTCTTTCTGCGTCCATTTACTAGAGGACCACTTTATTTTTATTTTTTTGTACATTTTCTTGGTATTCCTTTTTGTTTTCTACTCTCTTTGATGCCATGATATCATTTGGAAAAAGACTAATCAGAAAATGCTTTCGAGGTACTTTTTTCTGATGTGATTGAATTTTTTGGGTGTTTCTTCAATTTTCCATATCTCAGGAGGTGGGTTGTATACGTTGGATTGATGTGAATCCTGTGGTGTTCTGTGACTTCGCTATGGAATGCCCTTTGGAGAAGAAGAGTTCTTCTGGTGCTACTAAACCTTTGCAAACTCCTGTGAAACAACGTCTGGAGAGTCATGAGGTTGTCAAGTATATGTCCAAGCTACCTGTTTTCTTGGAGAGAGCTGAGACCTCTCAAGAGAAGCTCTTGAGTGTTGGTGTTCTTGATTGGGGACGTTTGGAGAAGTGGCAGCATAGTCATAACAGGAAGACTAGGTTCCCTTTGGTTCCCCACGAAACAGATCCTTTGTTGGCTCCGCCTAGAGATGAGTCATCTGCTGGTCCCAGTAAAGTTCATAACCAAAGTTCGGCTTCTCTAACGAAACATCATAGCTCTCGGCATTCCAATGTAATGCCAAACTCGGTCGAAGATACTTTAAAGGAGCGTGAACAAATCAAAGGTACCAGGAGAAAGAAACACAAAGATCGTAAATGTGTCAGCATACCAGATGACCAGCTTGGTCCAAACACTGATGCACAAGGATTAGATGGATGTGACGAGAAACATTTGAAAGGGAAGATCTGCCCAAAAAGTGGAACTTTGTCAAATGAATTGAATTCAGAGGCTGGCTTGGACATGGAAGTAAAATCAAAGGCTGATAGGAGCAGGCGTAGGAAGAGTGAAAAGAACTTGCAGGGAGAAAAACGAGATGATCATGATGAGGTTAAGACACGCAAGAGGAGTTCGACTAGAAAAGTTCGGGTTGTTCATGGTGTGGAAGTAGATTACTGTACTCAACATTCTTGCCCCTTGCCATGTAAAGCTGATGGCTGCTTGGCAAAGAGTACAATTGGCTCCACTGATGCGGACCAGAACAAGGTTTCAGTTGACATATCTCAGTGTGTGTCTCTTTCAACGAAAGCAAGGAATACATCTTCCAAAGGTAAAATCACAGAAGACAGAGCATCATCTTTGTTACCTCTGAAACACTGTAATGATGAGCCTTCCCAGAGACAAGATTCAAAGTCGCATAAAGGGGCATCTGAAAAGGGGAGAAGTATATCACCTTTTCAGCGGCTTAGCTTCAGTATGGGTAAGGCCAGCAAAACTAACAGTGAAGGAGTTGCTGTTCCCCCTACCCAGCTAGACTTAATGGCTAACTCCACAAAGATAGATTCACAAAATGTGGCTCTATTATCTGACGTTGACGGCTCAGATTGCAACAAGCCCAGTGCAAAAGATACAACCACGACAAGCCATTTAAGAAGGTTGCTAGAACCTCTGTTGAAGTCAAGAGCAATTCACTCTGGCAATTCCGTGGAGGGGACAAGAGGTCAAGGCGTACAAAGAATAAAATTAGGAATCACGGGTTGCAAATCAGTAAATGTCAGTGATTCAGCTCACGAGAAGAAGTTAGGATCATCCATGGTTCGAGCTGTTCTGCGGGTAACAGTTAAGAACAATCAGCCACTCTTTACATTTGCAGTGAATAAAGAAACCGACATTATTGCGGCCACCCAAAAGAAAATGGGAAGCTCAGAGGAGGGTGAATGTACTAGAGTTTATACTTTCTTCTCTATTAAAGACCATAAGAAAAATAGTGGGTGGTTAAACCAAAGAGGCAGTGGCCAAACACATGGTATCATCTCTAATGTTGTTGCGCAAATGCGGGTTTCAAGCTCTTTGCCTTCTGGTTCCATCAGAGAGTTTGTTCTCTTCTCTGTAGAACTTGATCAAGAGAGCACGGAAAAGTCTGATCTGCAGTTGAAAAATGAGCTAGCTGCGATCATCGTAAAGATGCCAAGATGGTTTCACAGGAGGGAATCACTAAACACGGTTCAAGATCATAATGCACTCAATGAAGAGCCTGAAGATCACATCAAAGACAGGTTTTTTGACCAAGACATTAGCGCGACGGTCATACTTCAAAGCGGTGTTCATAGTATGCCTCAGAAAGGAGGGCCATCCTCTTTGATCCAGCGATGGAGAACAGGTGGGTCTTGTGATTGTGGAGGTTGGGACATGGGCTGCAATCTCAGAATTCTTACAAATCAGCACAACTTATCCTACAAGAACTCAACAACGTCAAACTCACCAGCATCTTTAAACAGATTCGAGCTTTTCTTTCTGGTACAGATTCTCAAGTCCAATCTCCTTTTTTTCTTTCTCTTCTAAAATTAATTAAAAACCAAAAATATTTCATCGTCCCATTCCTATAATTTTTCAGGAAGAACAAGCCGAGGAACATCCATACTTGAGCTTTAAACCGATCAAAGAAGGGGTATATTCAGTTGCGTATAATTCATCCCTTTCACAAGTGCAAGCTTTCTCCATATGTATGTCACTTGCAGAGAGTAGAAAAATGTCAGAGATCACCCGTGAGCACAAAAGCTCGTGTGATGAACATAAAGCTAGAGCAAAAACCGCGTTAGTCGCAGACCAGGATTCAAACCCTAATGGAACCACCGTCGGGTCTCAACCGCCCCTCTCGCCTGTTGGGCGGGTCTGAAGTTTGTATTTTTACTTCAAACCCAAAGTTTTACTTGCAGGTATGTGATCATATTATTAGTGTTAAGCCTAAGGTAAAGTAGTTGTAGGAAATAAGAAAGCAGCAAGAAGATATCATATAAAGTAGTTAGTCTAATGGTCTTCCCAACTCTTAAAGTGTGAATATTTTTTTTTGTTATATCTTATCTCCTCCATATATAGATTACTTTCAAGCTGTGAAAATCTTTGGTTCCTTTCTGAAACTTCAAAAGCCTAAAGGGCTTTTATTTGTTAATCTTGCCATGTGATCATTGTCATGAATGATGAATATTGGATTCATAACAACAGTGTTTTTGAACCTTGGCCCAGCTGATCAGACAAGCTCGACAGACAATAGTTTTGCATAACTTTGAGTTTGATTAGTTCATCTTTTTGAATTCAGTGTTGAAAAGTGAAAAAAGATTCTAAGTAATAAGAAAACAATAAAAATGTTGCCATCGTTCACGTGAAGCTGTTGTTTTTTTTGGTCACAAAGACAGAGAGGAACAGAGTGGATTGTATAGCTTTATGCACTTTGAACTCACACAACAAGCAACATGGTAGACCCATCAATATCCAATTTGGCATATGCCAAAAAAAAATATAAATATAGAATCTCATAATTGACAAGTTTATCCGAGCAAATGATATTTTCTTTGTCTAAATGATTATGTTTTTAGAAAAATGATCTCTGGCATTTGGTTAACATGTAATAATGTCTGTCTTAGATGGATTTATTTTTATTATAGCTATAAATCCCTTCAAAAAAAACTGATCCATCATTACATGTATTTGCACATATGTATGTTCTTATAAAAACACTTGTTTCAGTTTCTTGTTTTTTTTTTAAAGTTTTGCTGTAACTTGTAAAGAAATAGGAGACCAGTGAATTATTGTAGTAATCATAGACAATAGTTAATTTATACGTGGCTGCATGTGTTCGTTACAAAGCGGATAGTTTGAAATGTGGTTAAGTTTATCAGACAGACAAAAACAAAAGCGAATACTGTATCAGATATTTATACAACTACAAACACAAGAAAAGAAATGGATAGTAGTATTGTGCACAAGTATCTTATATTCTTATCATTGGTCTTTTATGTCAAAACCCTCTAAATTAAACACTAGTATATATCCACATTATACGATTTCTAACAAAAATTTATCTGAGCATGCACACTACTCAGCTTCCGATCCCTTTCAAATGAGAAATAGTGACTTTTAAGTTACTTCCCATTATGTAAGTTGTTAATATCTAAGCATGTAAAAACTATTGCTATGATACATATAGAGCTAGCAATTTGCGTTATTGAAATATATTTTGTTTCAAAGCTTATGATTGGCACCCTATTATAGGTTTGTTTCGTATGTAACTATAATATATGTGCCGAAATTTCGTTAGTGGGTTGGACATTATCTTGAGCCAAGAGTCGAGAAGCAAGTTTTTTAAAACATGAAACCTTTCAAACACAACGCTCCTACCATTTGGCTACACCAGCTAGCTCTACAATAAGAATATGATTTCATCTTCCAATATTATATGAGGGTAACCTATACAAACCTAAAAGTGGAATCTGGGGCTAACCATGAAGAATCAATCAAGGAATGGCCAGGCTCTTAGGGATTCTGCTTCCTCGGAGGATGATGAACCAGTGCGCCTCCCTGCCTTGGACAATTCTTCCCTGCGACAGCGTTTCCGTCTCACTCTGGTTGGACGTGCCTTTCACACCTCTGGAAGAAGTATGGAAGCTTTTCTGGCCTTTATGCCAAGTGCTGGAATCTGGGATCTTGAAGGTAGAGTCCGAGGTTTTGACTTAGGTAATGGAAGATTCCATTTCAACTTTGAAACTGAGGAAGATCTGCAGAAGATTCTAAGGAAGAGACCTTGCCATTTCAACAAATGGACCTTCTCTCTAGAGAGATGGGAGCTCAACTTCCAAGAAGACCTCCTAAACTTTGTCCAATTTTGGGTGAAGATTAGAGACCTCCCCTTGAGATGCTGGGTGGAAGAAGCCTTCAGAGGCATAGGTGTTGCCCTTGGACGAGTTGTAGAAGTTGATGCTTCTGATGCTCGTGTTCTGGTTTCAGTCAATGTCACTCAGCCACTGAAGTTCAAAAAGAAGGTGGTGCTTGACAATGGTGAAGAAATCTGGGTATCTCTCTCCTATGAGAAGCTTTATCGGTTCTGCTTCTCTTGCAAATTGATCTCCCACGAAGATAGGGACTGCCCCCTCCTTTCAGAGCAACAAAGACGCCACAACAGAGAGAGGCGAGGGAATGCAGGACATTTTCCCACCAAAGAGCTGGCTGAAGGCAGAATTGAACATCGACCTCGTGAAGGAGACCTCCGAGACTCGATCCGTAACAGAGATCAACCTCGCCAGCTAGGAAGAGAGGTTGGTCACCGGTCTGGTCAGGCGCGCTCGAGGGATGCTGGAGACAAAGCTCCCACTTCAGAGAATCCAGCTCCTACACGTCATGTGAGAAGAAGCCTTTATGGTTCCACTTATGCCCCTCATCCTTCTGTGCAAAGGAAACCGGTCTGGCAGTGAGTTGGTGGCGATGCTGAGCCACGGGCACCCTCTCACAGAGAATCCTCAATCCAATCTTCCTCAGGGTCGAAGAAACGGGATGAGAGAACTGGTGATGATGCTTTCCGCCATAGGAGGAATGACGAGTCTGGTCATGCCATGTTGCATTATGGCAGCGAGCATCGTAGGGGGTCTTCTCGCCGCCGAGAGTCCCCTCTGCGTATCCGATCTCCGACAAGAGAAGATCCTTCCCACGAGAACTGGCGCAGTACCCGAAGACCCCCCCGTCATGTCTCGAAGCGTGTAGCGTCTCGCTCCTCCCCAAGTTCTGCTCTTGCTAAGGGCAAAGGAAAACTTGTAGAAGATGACTCCAAGGAAGCTGAGGACGAGGATATGGAAGAGTTGAACTTGGCTCCAGCCAATTTTGAGTTTGGCTCTGGTTCAGGCGCAGGTAATGAAGCACAGCAGGGCAGAGGCTACCCAACTCAACCCTCTCAGCAAGCTCCGGCATCTCAACTCACCGCCGGCTCTAATCCCCAAGCTAACGACGGTGCTCCTCCGGCTTTGGGAGATGCGATGGCGATTGACGCACAGCTGTCTGATTGGGAGGTCGAAGAGAACCGAGCCAAGGTTTCTAAAGAGATCAATCTGATTCAAGGGATTGAATCTATCCCCTCTGACTGGGGGAACCTCATTGATGAGGATGATTCTGATAAAGAGATCACGGAAGCTGGTGTCCGTTTGATGCATGAGTTCGAACAAGAGATGATTCTAGATGGCCTTCTCGAGAACGATGACCTTCTAGGAGAGGATTTGATGGCCGCCGAGTTCATGGGTTCCGGTGGGTCTGATGATAGTAAGGAGAAGACAATTACGGAGCAGGCGATTCCGATTGTGCATCATGAAGCTCCAGCCCCAGCAACCTCCCAATCTCCGACGAGCAAAAGACATCGTTCGCCAGATGGGGAGAGGAGAGTGAGAAAGCCAAAACAAGTGGATCCTTCTGGGCCTAAAATTTCTGGAAAAAGTCCATCCAAGAAAGCTCTGGTTTTGGGGCCTAACTCAGCTGTGCCCAAACGCATTCCCCCAAGGAGCCCAAAAGCTGTTGTTGCTGTGTCCAGGAAGCTAAAGGTCTTCCATGGCAAACCATCGCCGAAGAAGAAGGCTCCCACTACCACCAGAGGACGCCCGGGAATACCACGTCAAGAGAACACCATCAACAACATCCCTCCGAGGGAGGAGGTCCGTCACGAACCAAAGAAGAATTCCGATAATCGCAACATAAAAACGAAGGAAGGTGTGGTGGAGTCCCGGATCTCCCCCGACCCCCCCGCATGAGGACGCTAGCATGGAATTGTCAAGGGGTGGGAGCCAAGTTGACTCGCCGCCGACTGCGTGAGATGTGTCGTATGTACTCACCAGGTTTTTTATTTTTATCGGAAACGAAGAATGACAAATCTTTTCTGCAAGATGTGCAAGATGATTTAGGATTTGAAAATCTTCAAACCGTCGAGCCAGTTGGCACTAGTGGCGGTTTAGCTTTATTGTATTCGAATGATTTTCCGGTTAAGTTTCTTTTGTTAGATGACCGGTTAATTGATATCGAAACTATTATTAATGGAAATCGGGTCTTTATGACATTTATTTATGGTGATCCTGTTGTTTCTAACCGGGAATACGTTTGGGAAAGACTCATGCGTATTGGTGTGGTGAGATCCGAACCTTGGTTTATTATTGGGGATTTCAACGAAATAATTGGAAACCATGAAAAAAGGGAAGGAAGAAACGATCAGAAGCCTCCTTTTTACCTTTTCGAGCTATGATCGATTCATGCGGGTTAATTGATTTTCCATTCCAAGGAAATCAATTTTCATGGATAGGTCATAGAACAAATGGTACAATAAGATGCAGATTAGATAGAGTCATGGGAAATGAAGAATGGCATAATTTATTTTCCCACACAAATGTGGAGTATTTAAAAATGTGGGGGTCTGACCACCGTCCCCTTTTGGCTTCGTTGCTCTCTAAACCAAAAAAGATGCGAAGAAAATTCATGTTCGATAAACGCTGGATAGATAAGCCAGGACTCAGTGAAGCAGTACTAGAAGGATGGGGAGGAGAGGATGGTAGTGTTGAACGCTCAATTTACCAAAAAATCCAAAACTGCAAACGAGCTATCTCCATATGGAAGAAAAATAATCCCTCAAACTCAGAAAAACAGATTAAAGAGCTCCAAGCCAAAATTGATGAAGCTTATGAGGACGATCAAGCTTCCACAGAAGATCTCCTAGCTCTCAAGTGGCAATTGTGCGAAGCTTACAGAGAGAAAGAGGCTTATTGGCAACAAAAAAGTAGGGAGTTATGGCTTTTGGAGGGAGATAATAATACAAAATTTTTCCACGCTTCCACTAAGCAAAGGAGGGCAAGAAATAAGATTACTGGCATTCTCAACCAGATGGGAGTTTGGGTGGATACCGAAGAAGGAATAGAAGAAGTGGCGGTAGAGTACTTTAGTCGCCTCTTTACATCCTCAAATATGAGTGACCCATCGATGGCCATTAGAGATGTACCCACTTTGGTTACTCAATCAATGAACGACTCCCTCACAAAGGACATCTCAGAGGAGGAGGTGAAGCGAGCCTTATTCTCCCTGAATCCAGGAAAGACCCCAGGTCCAGATGGGATGACTGCCCTATTTTTCCAAAAATTTTGGGCTACAATAAAAGACGACCTTATTAAGACGATTCGTAATTTCTTCAGCTCAGGTTTCTTTGATGCAAAACTCAAC